TTCAGATAGATGAGCTTAGCACAAGTGCAAAAAGTACATTGAACCCATTTTATTAAGATGTTTGATGATTCTCTGTCCCTTTAATTTACCCGTATGCCGAGCAAAATGAGCTATACAAATAACATGATTTGTCAACGTTGTATAGTAAGTCAGTCACAAGCTTTTGCAACATATTATTATGACCATGTGGATTGTTCACCTAGTTGCCAAGATTATGGCCTGTATGTCCATATTCAGGTCGGTCTGTCTATCTAAAAATGAATTTTGACTATTAAAATATTCATTTAGCAGCAAGTTTTTCGTTCTAATTTCACTTTATTTTTCCGTCAAATTTGATTGGTCAGAGGTTAAGTTTTTGCATTACTTATATACCACTATTTCTCTATGACAATCAGTTGAATATAGCTGATGAGAAACAATTTAGATTGGACCTAAGACTTTACTATATTCCAGTTAACTGTTGAGTCACCATTCCGAAATTCAGTTACTTATCATTATAGTAATTGGAAAGTGCATTTATTGTCTAAAGTAGTCAATCTGTATAAATATAACGGGTTTTGATCATTGAAATGTTATTTTATAAATATCTAAATAAATAAAATGATAATATCATAATATCAGTCATTTTTAGACCATCATTTGAAACCTAAAAACATTGAACAGCCATTTCAGCCTAATGTGGGACTCATCAGCAATGCGCATCTCTGACCGCCGCCCTCGGAAATCGAATAGTGATCGATTCGTGATTTCGACGAAACTCAACAATCCCCATAATCCTATCATGAGAATGATAATACTTCAAATATCACCATATATAATACTGAATAAAAACGATTGTTTCGTTTACAGAGAAATTGCTAGAGTTAATGATGTCTTCCTAAAATTGTTAAATAAACATCATATTCATTTAAGTATTTTTCCTATTTTTGGTTAAGGTATGCAATGGATCAGATATACTCCAACTGTATCAAACAATAATTCATCAGTGTATATATATATATAATCAGTTTTCTCAACTAATTTTCTTAATTTGTATGAACAAATCCAATATCATACATTAGTAACCAATTAAAATGTATGTTAAATATTAAAAGTTGAGGATTCGGACAATGTATGTCATCCTCAGTAATCACACAGTCTGATTATTAGATTACAAAATGCATATTGATTGAAAATGAAGGTGTATTGATTTTCCTTGTGAACAACATCATCAGTAGAAACTTCTTGTAGAAATATCCAACTCAGAGAACAAAACTTCATCATCATCATCCATCAGAGCTACAAATTTTCTCTACCGTGACAGTAGTAGGGAATAAGATGAAGATTCACTTAGTTGATGGGCTATAAGCAGCATAGAACCGAGTATATATGTTTGTATTGGTTTAAGTTGTTTTCATCTCATATTAACATGCAGGGATTTAATAAATAACAATCAACTCATCGCAATCTTGTTCAGAGTCTCAATGTATATAAATAAAACCAATTAATCAAATAGTTTTTCCATCAGAGAGTTATGGAGACTGTTGTTTTGTACCGAAATCGTGAATCAAATAATCATTCGACCACTATGAGAAACGTGTAAGCGCTGGACGGCTGTTTCGTCGCAGTATGGATCCGCATAGCTGAAGAGTCCCATACTAGGGCGAAATGCTAGTCCAGTGCTTCCAGGTTTCTACTAGTGGTCTAACAATGTTTGAGTCACGATTTCATCAAAGAGTATCAGATGATTTTTAGATAATTTAGCATAATAACAAAATTCAAACATAAAATATGTTTTTGAAATATTTTTTTCCGTTTAAATTGTTTTTATCAGTCGTTATTATAAATTTGAATGAAATTTATATGTACCTTAGACAATTGTGTAATTGTATTCCATCTATAATGAGTTTATTCAAGATAAAATTGACATGTTAATTAAGCTGATAAATAAATGGTAAATTGTTTCATGAATTCCATTATTTAAATTATAAAGAAAACATTTACTCATTGTGAAAATCTATAAATGACTTATTTCATTTGAAACTTGTAAGTTGGCATAAATGTATCCACTAATAATCAATATATTTTGTGTGACTTTTATTTAGATGGCAAATAAATATTATTAAGTGATATAAATGTGTTTATATCGAATAGAAAATCATTTGAAAGATTGTGGTAAATTGAATCGAAAAAGTGTTTAATGTTGGTAAAATGTAAATTTTGTTTTAAATGTTCAAAACATTTTTCATTGTTAATTTCTACGTTGTATGTGTTCCAATGGAATTAACGATCACATGATGTCAACAGTTATATTTATTCACACTATTATCACAGTGTGATGAAAATATCAATCAAATTTTATTGAACATAGATAAGTGATTCTATAAGTTTACTGAAACAGTAGTTGTTGCAAGAAGACTATTTAAAATGCCAAACAAAATTATACGTCTACTGTAATTCATTTGTATTGGTTACTTGAATCTTCCCGCCAATGTTTACGAGTGCAATTAATAAGTTGCTTTTAGCATATGTGTATCCCTTACGCATTGCCATAAAGTCAAAAAAAGTATTATAAGCAGAGATAGATAAAAACTAGCAGTGGAATTTAGGACGCAAGTTTTGTCCTATTTAGGATTCGTTAGCTGTATGGACCGGCATATCAGAGTTGACGTTCACTCTGGGACTTTAATGAAATTGAATTCAAAATAGTACCAGATTAAAAATGGGTTGTAGAGATATTGTTAAAACTGTTTGCTCATGAATTTGTCGCATTTAACTGGTTACATGTGTACATTTAACCAACCCTCCTCACTTATCCAGATTTGAGACCGACAGTAACGTCAGAATGAAACCAGGCGGATCACTGTTGAACAATCAATTGAATGGAATTCTCTACCATACATTAACTAGATTGACTACGAGAAAGAATTTGAGGGCATGAACAAGTGAAAATTATAGAGACTTCTTAGGGGCTATAGCGTGCCTAAGATGATTGTCAACATCATACAGAATTCTTATGATGGACTAAACATAAGATCGTTGATGGAGGACAGCTTACGGATTCGTTCCAATTGAAGACTGGTGTCAGGTAAGGTTGTTTACTCTCACCATTTCCCTTTTTCTTGGTGGTCGACTGGATTATTAAGACGTAAACATCTAGCCAGAAGCACGCGATAGAGTGGACTGCTAGAATGCAGCTGGACGATCTAGACTGCACGGATGATCTGGCTCTTCTATCGCACACGCAACAACAAACGCAGGAAAAGAAGATCAGTGTAGCAGCCTCAGCAGCAGTAGGTCTCGACATACACACTGGAAAAAGCAAGATCCTCCAACACAAAGTAAGGACCACATTTCTACACATGAAGAACACCTGCAACTCAAACAAACTATCAAGCAACACAAAGGTCAGAATTTTCAATACGAACGTCAAAACAGTTCTATTGTATGGAGTGGAAATGGGGCGAACAACCAAAGCCGTCATCTAAAAGATACAGGTGTTTATTAGTAGTTTTCTGCGAAAGATACTGAGGATCTGTTGACTGTCTGAGAGAACAAACCAGATTCCAGCTGAGGAAAAAATTATAGGGAAACGCTGGAGGTGGGAAGGAGACATATTGAGGAAAGCACCAAGCCGCTATATCACAAGACAAGCCCTTTCTTGGAATCCTCAAGGCCAAAGGAAAAGAGGAAGACCAGAGAACACATTACTCTGAGAATCGGTTTCTGACATGAAAAGAATGAACAGCAATCGGATAGAGCTGGAAAGGAGGGTGGTGAACCAAGTCCAAGGAATGGTAGCGGACGTAAATGAGTAACTTGAAATTTCAACGATTATTCTCTACTAGTTATTAGTCAAATATTATCTATCCAATTTTCAATCAATATTTTGTTCGGGATGCTAGATCCCCAAAAGTCCCTGGGTAGACCTTGAACCTGATTGGTTAGTTTACTCTTTTAGAGCGCTTTTTGTAAGTCTCTCAAGCACACTTTTTGTACTGCATATATTACACTTGAATTGAATGCTTTTTAATTCGTTCTCTTGGGGTTGCTTGCAGACTGACTTCAGACTTCTTGCTCTAATTGGTAGGGCTGTGCCGCAGATAACAGCTTAGCTTTCTTGTTATTGTGTCACTGGTTATCGTTCCATTCGTCAATATCAAGTCGTATCCTAATCAGCGAAAGCATAGCATATCTATGTCAAAGTGTATTCCAATTTTAGTCCGATATGTAGTTCGGATATGACTTTAATCAGACCCGATGCTTTATGCGATTGCTGGATGTTGGTGAGGAAATTAAAAAAATCCTAGATTACCGAGATACTAACAGTAGTTTTGACATCAAATACTTAAAGAAAAAAAAGTAATGTTCTAGAAATTAAGCCTTCTTGATGAAGCTCTGATCAGTTTACAGGGGAAAGTATTACAATTGATAATTTTTTTACGTTTATTAATTTAAGCGCAATTATTGGTTCAAAGGGACACTAAAATATTTTTGCGCACTACACAGATCACAGTATATCTGTGAGTGAGCTGGGATACTACTCGGATGCCTTGACCTAAGCAGGTTGTTTTCGTAGTGGCCAATCACTGAGCACAGAGGTCTAGTCCATAAGGTAGTAAAGCAACGTCAGGAGATGTAGCTCCATGGTGGCGATTGACCAACATAAGGTTTATACAGAATTTGTTCCTTCTGGAGCCCATGTACACCATTAGTTTTGAATCAGGGTCTTTCAACACCTCTAGATGAATCCTCCATACTCACCAACCCAGTTAAAGAAATAAACATTCGCTTCCCATCCTCTTAATTTCGTATGCAATACCCCCTCCACGAGAAGGCATGGTGATGTTGACGAGCATAACTTATGTTTATCGACCATCAGAAACTTCCTGCTTGATGTTGTGAAACTGTTCGTTTGAATTTCACTGAAAGTTCATTTAAACCATTCCGTTATTTCATTAGTGAATAGTTGGTTATAGTTTTTATTTGAATAAATTTCACCAAATGAAATTTTTACTTACCAGTTATAGTAACTTTATGCTCACCATGTGAAGCATGACGAAAGAGATCTACATGAATTGAAATCTCTCCAACACTATCTTCAATTGCAGGTTTATCTAATGAAAACAAAATGACATCAGTATAATCAGAAATAAGTTGTATCAATCAATCAATCAAGCAATAAATAGCAACGTAGAACTTCGTACGTACATACATCAGTTCAGGTTGCCATACCACATTAGCACAGTTCGAACCCTATAATGGTAGAGATAGTAGAAGTATTAGCAGTAATGGAGAAGATTGGGGAGCGAAGATATGATTCGAGAAGTATAATTCAGTGCGATAAATTTAGAAGGAGAAAGATAGAGATTATGAGGAATTCAGAAGATAGAATTTCATAGAACACAACGAGTGGATGCACCTGCTCCATTATAAATGATTTTGAGCCATGTCGTTCAAGATCTGTAACCATCGGCTTCTATCGTCTCGCGGACCCTAACCAGGTAGTTGGCACCTACCAACATGATTCAGTCCACTTCTTAGTGACCTCATGGATTTCTCCCACGTTTTGGTGTGACCGCTCCTAGCTATAATTCTAGTCGACATCATGCAATAATAATTTTTCTAATAAAAACGTTCATAAATTTGTCAGAAATGCTGATAAATAATCATGATAAATAAGGTGTATTGAGATGAATGATTAATTGTCTAGAATTTTGATATTTAATGAAAAAATTTGTTATCTATCATCAGCAAATTTTTTATTAATTACGTATTAAATAATTTCACTGTTTCTATACAGAAAGCATCACAATCAAATATCGATCGACAAAAACTAGTTACTGCTAATGTCAACACATAATAAGCAACAAAAGTGAAGGTAACGTTATAATAGTCAAATGAAAAGTATATTGAATAACCATACTGTACATTTTTACTTGGATTGTTTATTCACATGAGATTTCTATTGGAGACAGTGTCACCTGACATTGATAGCAAAACTTAGCAGTCGCTTAAAGTGCGTAGTTTTAACGTTTATACTGAATCTTAGCAATATCTCAAAGTAAGAAAGCATCACTTTCTACACCTCTATAAATCAATAACTTATCTGAAAAAATTATTATACTCGGTCGGTAAATTTGTTGTTTTACTTCTTTAGATACCTTGAATTCACGTGTTCACGCTACACACATAGTTTTGATAAGGATATGTGTTACTATTTCATATCAATTGGTTCATTTTAATTATTTTCTCATGTATCTTTCTCGAAGCTATTAAGCATTACTTAATTTAGTATTGACAAGGTGTAACAGTTATATCTCTCACTTTATAATTTCCACATGTTTAAAGTCAATCACATATTCATCAAAACATATTAACCATTGTATCAATAAAAGCAAAACATTTTAGCGCTTAATTTAACACAACAAAGAATACAGAAAATCAACAAACCTTGTGATGTTTGAGTAGCTACAAAATTTTTAATTAATGCATCCGTTGTTTGAGTATATAATGATAATGCATAACGGAGTGATTGTAATTCTGGTGATTTGTCTAAATAAACTTTTTTCAATCCACTACCACCAGCATGAAAATAGTTTTTAATTGCATCTAATGCTATATCTAGAATTTGACAATGACGCGGTGTTAAATTACGCTCTGAAATTCCAGCATCTTTTGACATATCCTACAAGAACAAAAATAACAGGAAGTATACAATATGCATAGATGATGAATAGTTTGTTGAAAACATATAGTGGGATTTTAAAAATTTTGGAATCATTTAAATGTCAGCTGATTAACTCAATATTGTCTTGGTTGAGTGAAGACTAACTAGTCGTGGTTGCTATCTGTTGAAGAGTACCTAAACTAAAATCAAGGAGCTGTTTAATTTTTTTTCCAAGCCATAACTAATTTCTCGTAAAATATCAATTCATGATGAAAGTTAACTTCATACTGAATAATCTCTAGCTTCAAAAGTTATATTATTTTAGTTTCATAGTTTCAATCTCTTTAATTTTAAAACTGTTTTGAATTCACATTCGAAGCATTCATTTATGTTTATTCTTTCCGAAAGACTGAATGAAGGATTTAGGTAAAGTTTCTGTGACAACTTATCGTACAAACTAATATGTAAGTAGACAGGTTACCTTATCAGTTTATAATGTCTGAGAAATCATGGAAACGCGGAAATTATCCGGCGTAACTGTATAAGTAATCAATGAATAACCAAAAATTGTTTACTTGCTAGTAACTAATAAAAAACACTCATAGACAAAAGACAAAAAATAACATTTACAATAAATTTTCACTTAGATAAAATGTTAAAACTGACTTACTTGTAATAATCGACTAGCTGGTAACTGACTGCTTACATTTGTTAGTAAACTTTGTGATACACTGGTTAATTTAGCTTGTGCCGTTGATGGAATGGACAAATTCAAAAACATCTATAAGTAAGATGTATTCAAGAAAATAAATCATACAGCAATATCGAACATTTGTTTACAACTAGCACTGAGTACAGTAAATAAATACCAAAAAAGAATCAAGAAAATTTTATATACCTCTGTTTAAGTGAATTCACTGTAGAAAAATCCCACAGATAAAACATGAAACTTATTATTTTGTTCAGTAAATCAATCAATATTATTGTTGCTTTGCTCGTCAATTGATATGCTTGGACTATTGAGAGTTCACCTTAGTCGGTAAACGAGAGAAAAGATAAACGGTCCAGTCACACATTAGGCTACTCTAAACCGAGCGTCCCAAGGCTACACTAAGTAGAGGAATAAGTCTTGACAAGACGTAGAAAGTGTATTCTACAAGCACCCAGAAAATATGAGGTCTACAAGCAAACAAACTGAGTTCATTTATTTATCATATAAACGTCCTTGGGAAAGCCACAGAAATTGCGTACTAAAATAATACATCAGTTAATGACAGTCAAGGATTTTCCGGGTGGTAAATGTAATCTCAAGGTCAGCTAAGCACCTTATGCGCGAAAACATTAAAAAATCCAAAATTAGGACCTTTATCAAGTGAGTTCTGGAGATGTAACGTCCCCAACAATTATGTTGTTGTTAGTCAACTATTCATCTAAACAAAAAGTGATAATTTTGCTAAACAATCAGTTTTCGCAGTCGTTCAATCGGTGTTTGCGTCTGATACTAAGTCAGTTTAATAAATCCTACACATCGGAAGAAAAAATCATCAGTGAGTCGTCTGTTCATGTTTTGTCAATCGAAATTTGTTACTATCATTGAGTTTATTATAAGACATCGCATAAATGTTGCCAAAAAGTCAAAAAACTGGAATAACTGCTTCTTCCAGTCCTTGATGAAAAATATCTTTCAATATCAATTGGTTTAAAGACAAAACACTGATTACTTATGACGTGCGTCTTTACTCAGTATTACAAATCAACAATCTTACTGAGTTTATAATCTTTCTAAAAAGATAGATAAACTAAGTGAATGAGTAATTACCGAAGCTGTGATGTTACATAGAGTAGTTTACTGTCAGTATTTGATACTATCATTATCGAGTCTATTTGTTATTTTTCATTAGAAATACGAACGATTGAAAAATCCTTCCAGGCACAGTTACTATCCATGCCAGACTAAGAAAGCCTACTCATGGATTTATTCAAGGGTTTGCAAATAAAATGAAGTAGCACATATATTATATTCAGCTCGTAATCATTTAATGTTAACGGAAACGTTTTCTGATAGAAAAAATGGCTAAAAAAATGTGTGTGTTATACTATCTGAATATATGACACAAAAAACACTAAATAACTCAATGATAACGTCTATTATTCGATTGATAAATTAGTTTGTCTACGTAGAATTATGTCATTATTATAAAGTGATTGATGACTCTTTTTGATTGCTGTCGTAAATTTGCGCATAATTTTTTAGGTTAGTATATTCTAAGAGCAGAAATAAGGATTCGTCTGAGATTTCTCAACACTTCCTGAAAAGCTTATGACTCAAATAAACTGAAGATTCTCAGCAGTGTAATTTTTTAGGATTGATTAAATACATGACGTTTCTGAATTCTGGGGTCCGATTCAATCATTATTGCACACTGTTAAGAAGACAGAATGATTCCAGGAGAATAAATGAATTCACAGAATAAAACAGTTTAAAACTGAAAATCAAAACAACATTTAGAAGTAAGTACATCTGTGTCATTGTGACTGATTCTGAAATACGTCACCCTACGTATCAAACCATTAGTTGTGGTAATCATGTGAACCCCAACTATGTAGTCTGAACCTATCAACGTGGCTTAGATCAACAATGAAACCTCATGGACGGATATCGTGTCTCAGTTTAATCACCACATCCATGAACATATGACTTATCCAACCATCTCAATCATTTAAGAAGTTTTATTAATTTCAACCAAATTTTTCCAAGATTATTAGTTGTCCGAAATAATTATTGATAACCAACCGAGTAAACAACAAATTTGAATCTTTCAAAGATTCAAAGAGCGTTCCTCTACTCTATTACTGAAATAATGATTAAGTTATACTTGATGATACAAAGTACTGCCAATTTAAAAAAAGATAATCAAACAAATAATAATCTTTCAGTCGGCAATAAAATTGGATTAAAAATACCAACACCCTAAAACTCACAGCTCTTGGATCAGCAACAGTAGGCAGTACAACCTGTTTCTCTAAATTATGCATTGTAACTTTCCAGAGTTCCTAAGTTTATGATATGGTAGAGCAATAAAAGGAAATTGATATAATTAAGAAAACTAATCGGTAGTAAAAATATCAGTTATTTTCAACTTAAAACAATCAAAATAAATTTTGAAAGCCTTAAAATGAAACCCAGCGTTGAGTTGATAAGGTAATCAGGACATATTGAACAATGAATATATGCGTCGACAATAACTATGATTACTACTTACGCCCCAGAATATTAAATCTCATTGAACCATAGGACAGCAGTATGGATCAAAATGTGAAGTAGAAAAACCTATACTTCTCTATGCAATGGCTCTATGTGTTGATTTCTACTTTGTATGCTTCTTATTATCTGAATATGAAAATTGGACGATATATTTTTAGCATCACCAGTAGATGATATTTATTAGTATTATGTTTTAATGTAGGGCACACTTTCTTCAAATGATGAATGAAGTCCTGAATAGACTAAATCAAAAGTTCTAAATTAGTTACAGATATTATAACTTATGCTTGGATGGCTACAGCTAACTAGGGTTTAGATTATTTAGCTGTTTTTTAATGCGATTTCCTATTGAAGCCACAAAATCAAGACTACAGTTTGAAAATAATCAAAGATAGGTTTGGTAATGGATTTTACATAGGTCTGTCTATATCAGAAGTTTCATATATTTATCTTTCTGCTTCGGAATGATCCGAATAAACTACCGATAACCATCGCTCAAATTACTGTGGGTGTTCACAGTTTAACAGTATAAAAATGCGCAAATTTTTGAAGTTCGCGTTTAGCTACTGCTTACTGAAATTCAGTAGTATGTTTTTAAAATGTAAAAAACTATGATTTTTCTCGTTGAAATCCATAGGGATGTTAATTTAATAACAATGAATATCGAAAGTTCATATTTAGGAGTGAATTCAGTTCTGACTATATAGATGAATGTTATTCATTTTTAGTCATAAAAGTATTCTTATTATAACTTAGAATGATTTTTAAAGAACATATAGATTAAAGGGTGCATGTTACTGGTAAAAAGGAATTTAATATCTTTAAACCTATGGTTTCCAAATGCCTTGATTTATATACAGTTTAGCTAAAATTGACCAAATTTAAAAATCCTTTACGTTCGGTTTATCTTTTTTTTTAACAATAAATCGATGACCCACATGTAAGCTCATCAAATGTTTGACCCATATGTAAATATTCTCTGGTAGATCCAATCAAATTTTTCAGTTGTCTTAATGACATTATCATCAATCAAAAACAGACATCGTGTTATTTCAATGTGAATTTTTTCTTTTATTAATGTACCTCAATGGATGAGGTTATTGAATAATTTGAAATAATTGTAATATTTTACATTATAAATTTTTTAGAATTACCTTTAACAATCGTTTCAACACTGTTTTTTCACATAAATCTGCTAAAGCTGATAATGTTGATTCATAATGATCCATAAGTGGATGTAATATGTGTTCAGCTTCAGTTTCTACACTTGTTTTGGAATGAGGTGGACACTGTGAACAGAGGAAAATAAATAAATAACTAATAACTACATAATGAAATGGTTCATTCGAAAATTAGCTGAAAATTGAAATTTGAAATATTCCGACTCGATGATTCAAAAGGCATCTTGCTTATACTAGATCCCATCGCAAGTGACACCATCAGTCTGTACTTCCAAAAATCCTCTTCTCTAATAACAATCATATGCTCATTAGTAACCAACTTCAGGATTCGTTTCTAGAGTTCTAGTGAGAATCCGTGACCAGCAGAGTTCGATCCGTGTTGGCTGTGGGACAGTTATCCGCCACAAGCAATAGATGAATATTTCACAAGAGCATGGAATGATTAAAGTTAGAGATTAACACCGCAAGACGCTAGTTTAGTGGTCTGGAGGCTTAAATATTGGGCGTAAAACCGAAGGTCCTAGGTTCGTTTCATGCATTCTGGATCGTGAATGCGTACTCTTGAGGACTACTAGAAAGAAACAGTCATTCAGTGGTTCCAGTTTTCCAGTGTTGGTCTAGCTAAGACCTTTTCATGATTTCAGTTGTGAGAAACCAGTTTAAATAACAAAAATCTTGTTTAGTAAGAATGCCATGGACAATATGAAAAATAAATATTTTCGCATTAATATACCATTCACTAATACCAGATGCTTAAGTTGTTACATTAGATCAATGAATGAACCGGACTGATGAAGATTTTCAAAATAATTTGAATGAAAATGTGATTGACTTAGCTAGTTGTTAGGTTTTATAGCTTAATAAACTAAAGGCAAGCTTTTTCAATTGTTCGTATGAAGAAAAAATCCTTTTCAATTTGATCATTACTGTAATTAATATTCTTGTTGGAAGTGACGTCATATATACACATGGGAAAGAAAGATTAACACAAAGAAGGAGCTTGAACGATGTTTAGAATAAACTTAAGAAATCTGTACTCGTTTCTAGCCAATCAGAGAGAGTAGGTTATGAAGTAAGTCGTCTGCATGTGAGGAAAACGTAACCATTCTGTTTTAACACCTCTTTCTCCATTATACTTTGTTCCATTAAACCCTTAAGGCTAAACCTTATTCTACCCATAGATAATGTTGTTCACATCAACATTTCTGAGTATACAAATCCGCAATATTGTTACCAGTGAATGAATATCATTGGTCTCATACCAGAAGAGCAGCAAGTATTGGTTACTAGTTTTTGTGTGGTCACATTTTATTACTAAAAGGATCAGATATGAATGAGCTACTTAGATTAAGTGAACAAAAAAGTCAAGTTTGATCAACTCTTTACTCGCATACAGTTTGGATCCAAATGATGAGATCTTTAGTAATTGAGTTACTGTAACATTTCGGTCAAAATTTAAAAAAGAACATACAACTAACAGTTAACTTTTATTCATTTGAACTAACGTAATATGATTTTATTTATCGATAAGTGAAAAAAATTTCTATTTAAAGAAAACAGCTACAACAACAATACAAAATCAATAGCACTAACTTGATGCAATAATTTGCTTAATTCTTTAATCTTTTGTATAATTTGCACTTGTAATGCTTCAGCATATTGTGAAGCTAAATCATCAATGACTGCTTGAAGCATTTGTTGTAAATCATTCATTGTATTCAATGTATCCTCGCATAATGCACTACCACCCATTGCTTCAAATACTTTTTCTAATTGTACACGTAATTGTTGTATATTATTCATGATGATACATGCAGTCTCTTGTTGATGTATCCAATATTTGAAATCAGCTTTGACTATTTCAGCATAAGTCAGTAGTACTTTACTAACAGTCTATATACATATATATAATGATTTTTAGAAAAAAAATTGAATAGAATAGAATATTTAGTTAAAAAAGATTGAAACAAATAAAATAGTTAATGATGATGAGCTTTGATGACTGACCTAATAAACATATGATTATTGTTAAAGGAAAGAAAAAAATGAAATTCTCTTATAACGGTATATATATATGAATAAACTCAATCCTACTATGATCTACTTGAGACATGTTTTTAAAACTATTATCTCAAGTCATATATTCCACTGTAAAACTGAATGGGAAATTGAAATGATTGATGGAAAGTCATTAACTGAGAGTTCTGTTTTTTTCTAGCATATATATATGTTTGAAATCATTAATCAATCATCATTGTTAGACCACCATTAGAAACCTGGAAACACTGGACGGCCGTGCGCATCCACGACTCCTGCTCCTCGCAGGATTCGAACCCGGGGCCTTCGGCATTGTAGGCGAACGCCTTACCATCGGACCACTGGGCCGGCATCCAACGGTGTTAATGTCTAACTCTAATTGATCTAGGGATTTTGCGCGACCTCACCCATTTGTCTTTTTTGGTAGTTACTGCCTACACCCGACAGGGTTGAACTCCAACTCCACTGGTCACGTCTTCTCAACTAGAACTCCGAGAATTTCCTGACGAAGCTAGTCACTAGTGAGCACTGTTACGATATATTGGGGCACAGTTTTGGAGGTGCGTGTTTACACATTTGAAATCATTAATCAATATATATATATATATTGAAGAGTTTAATATGTATATATAAAAAAACCCGGATAATTCAAACTTTTACTAATCATAATGATAATATGGATGTAATATGTGTGTTGAACTAGTTAGCAGTTATCTGAATTCAGCAGCTCAGTGGATAAGAAGTTGGTAATTGAAGAGGAATATATAAATACTTAAAATTACTTCGCTTCGCTAACACTTGAATAAAGTCTAATATAACAATCAAGACATAATAATATGAATTCATCATACTTTGTAAGCTCAATTTAGCCATATTGGTAAGTATACGTGAGACCATTTGAGGATAGAATTCAAAAACACATACAGGAGGGAGGCAGATAGTAATTTTACAGCATCGGGAAACTGATTAGATGGACTGTGTAATAATTACGAGAAATTTAAAATGTTTACATAAGTTTAATATCGATTGAAAATAGATAGAAAACAGAGAGATGAGGTGACAATTATCTAGTATTTGAGGTGGATAAAATGGACGAAGTAGTAATTAAAGAGTATTTGAAGAGTTTGCATGAGTTTTAAGAAGTTATATATCAGTCAAAAGTACATGAATAAAAAGACAGTGTTTTGTGTAAATGAAATAATCAGCTTAGTGCTGTGATTGCGTAATAAATTAATCATAGTTAGGTGACTTGAATCAAAACTGTGAATTTATCAGGACAATGATAAATCGACAACTGCCTAGTTTAGGATAATATAAATCCGATTTAAGTTTTCTAACTGTAACTGTTTGAGTGAAACAAACAGAAGTTGTGTTGTTTTGTCTGTTCGCAATTTTGAAAAAAACTGGCAAATTTTAATTTTATATGCCTGCTATAAATTAACTGTCTCATTGTTTACAGCTGTTGCATCTTCTAGTCTCTAATTTTTTTTAGAATATTTTCAGAAATGTTACTGTTTAGGAGTGTATACATTTATTACCCATGAAAAGTTAATAGAAAAATCTAATTTACTCGTTGCCTCTTTTAAAACTTCTATTCTCATCTTCATTAATGTGAATGAATAGTTTAGAATAAATTACTAGTTTATTCAAAAATATTTTTTTCATAATTTTAAATAGTCACCATGGATAATATACCAAATATACTTACACGAGCAAAACGATTTAAGAAACGTTCTTGTACACTTGGTTCACGACATTCAAGTTTTTTAATCACATCAAAACACTGATTAAGTTGTGTGAAAACATCCACAACTGAATTAGAAAATAGCGCATGTTCACTAGATCGTTGAAATCCATCTTTTTTATCACGTTCATAGGCATTACGCAAGAAATCCATTGATACTTCATCATTTTCATTTAACCATTGCATAACAAACACTTCAAACCAACTAAACGAAGAAGAAAAAGAAGGAGAAAGAGAAAAAAATTATTTATTTATTTTACTTTAACAAAGATGACACAATGAAGTAAGAAGCATTAATTTTAGAATAACAGAAAAGTTATTTCTCTGTAAATAGAAAGATGAGCAAAAAAAGAAAATCCGACCAAATGAAAACTTATGCATATATTGAATGCAAATTCAGAAAATGCATATAATTGAAGTTGTTTCTTTTAAAGAACTATAATTGAATTAATTAAAACAATCTTTTCATCAATTCAATATGTCACTTGTGCACAGTGGCACAAACTTCTTTCAAGTTCAGTCATTAGATACTTAAAAACAAAATATATAAATTTCCTCTTTAAGCATTGAATATTATTTATAATTTCATTTCAATGAATAGAAAACATTCATTAAATCATTGACACCAGTGATTCATTATCAACATTTCATACAAGATTCTAGTGTTTGTAAGCCTTTCTTTTATCACTGCACAAATTATTCATTTATTAAATAATTTAAAATGGTAATCAAGTCAATAAGTAACAACGAATGGATCATTTAAAGATGTATAGAGAGATGAATATTGTTGAAACATGCATAAAAATAAAGTACTTTCTGGAAATTTTTGCAAATTTGTAATTAGTATTAGGACAAGTCGTTCCCTAAAATACTTAGAGAATTTAATCTGTTTCATTAAGATTTGTGTTAAGACAGTGTATGATGTTGCACAATACCATGAACTGATCGAAGTTAGACATTACCACTGTTAGATATCGGCTCAGTGGTCTAGAGGTTAGGCGCTCGCGCACAAGACCGAAGGTCCAAGGTTCGAATCCTGCAAGGTGGAGGAGTCGTGGATGCGCACTGCTTATGAGTCGCATACCAGGAAGAAACGGCCTTCCAGTGCTTTCAGGTTTCTAGTGGTGGTCTAACTTCGATCGATCCATGATTTCAAATGTGTAACTTAACAATCTTCACAACCCCGTAATGCAACTACAAGGAGTATCAGTTTTTTAAAAACTACATAAACTCCTTTTGTTACAACTGACAATTTGTAATTAAAAAAATAAATCTAAGAAATTCCGATGATTCGTTTCAGTTATCTAGTCATAAAACAGACTAAAATACAATGTGGACTCATGAAGTGGACCATAAAGTTGTATAATTAACAATCACAACCATATATTATATATGATTTAAGGTGGGTAGTCAGTAACTTCTTATTACTATCATTTAATATTATTGATTTCATCATGAGCTGTGCAATCGGAAATTATCACGCTATAACGTAAATTGATAGAAATTGAATTTGGATAATCGGAAGTTGACCCGGTGATTCGAATAGCGATACGCATTCTGAGAGAAAAGAAAGTCTTAGGTGGGTTCTTGGATGGCTATTTCTGAGGTATCCCATACTCGGACAAAACAACTGCCTTATATTTCCCAGTTCGTAATGGTATCACAACTGAGATCAATCTTTGACAAATGGAATCTACCTAATAAATCAATCTTCCCGAAATCCCTTCAATATTTCCTTAATTATACATACGAAAAAATATACCAATTCTGTCAAACTTTTAAATTTACTAATCATTTTTTTATTCGTTTAATCAAAGTAGAATCTATCAACTAATTCATTTTTAAATTGATGTAACAATCATGAAGTATTTGTAACAAAAATAAATTGTTAACAATTTTGACAAGTTTTAATAGCTGCTCCTGTATTTTTTTTTTAATTTTACTTCAAAAATGTCACCAAAGAAAACGAATACTGAGTCGTAAAAAAAAGTTGTCAAACAATTTTATTATCATTTTTATATTTCACCGTTTTTTCTAATGACATGATTAATAGAAAATATTATTTGAGACAAGTAATAATAAATAAAAATTTTATTTCTCTCTCTGCCAGATAATAATTAATAAACGTATTTACAGTTTAGAATGAAAATGTGCTGTTCCTATGGTGGTAGGATGTATGAGATAAATTTCGAAAGAGAACATATAACATGAATTCGTATTTTTTGTCTTTTTCTGAAAGATAAGATTTGATAAGTTGACAAATTCTCATGTGAAACTATCATCTCCAGTCAAGAAATCTATGAAAAAAAGCTTAGATAAATTTCTAGCAATAACTGGTGACTGATTTTTAGACAATTTTTTTTCAAAAACAATTTCCATTTCGTTAGTTAAGCTTGTCTTTTTTGTTCTCTACTTTTAAACAGTTTATTTTATATTTCTTCTTCCCTATTTTAATAATTCAGTTAGACGAATGAATTAGGAATAACTAAAGAACCCAGTAGAGTATTTGAAAATTTCAACTTAATACAATCAGGCTATTGGTAAGAGTTCAGTTGAAAGTGTCAGCTGTGAACATGGCTATGTCTTGTAGTTCAAAATTTTACAAACTAGACTGTTATGCTTGTCAGTTTATATGCTTGAAACTATTACGAGTTCACCTTAGTCGGTAAACGAGAGCGAAGACAAATGGTTTAGTGAGACAATAGGCTACTATAATCCGAGCGTCCCAAGGCCCCACTAAGTAGAGCAAGAAGTCCTGACAAGACGTAGAAAGTGTATTATACAAGCATCCAGAAAATATGAAGTTAACAAGCACACAAATCGAGTTTATTTATACATGGTTGAAACGCCCTTGGGATAGCCACAGAAAATGTGTACTAAAATAATGCATCAACCAATAACAGTCAAGGATTTTCCGGATGGGGAATGTAATCTCAAGGTCAACTGATCGGCCCATGCTCGAAAACATAAAATCCAAAATCAGGACCTTTATCCAGTGAGTTCTGGTGATCTAACGTCCCCAACAAAGGCGAAATGTGCATGTCATAAATTCTACTGTGAATCACAACCTGTTTATTCGAAAAAGTCATACTATTGTTGTTCAACTTGATAAGAGAGAGAACACAAGCAAATCACTAATAGCCTAATTATAACAATAAAGGTAAAAATAATAATTCTGATAATTATGATAGATGAAATGATTAATTTTTTTCAACTAACCGTGGATATTCAGGTATAACATCTTTTTGTGAAGGAATCAAAGCTACATGTTTATTATAGAACCATTTTAATTTAAAAAATAAATTCATATAATCTGATGATTTACAATATCGTGTATCCGTATGTGCATGAACTTCTAAGGCGATTTGAATATCATCAGATAAACGTTCCCACATGCATAGTGCACTAATATGACCCATATTAACTTCTTGTGGAAATCTAGGTAGTAATGAAAAGAATAAATTTTTTTAATAAAAAACTATCATTTAGTATGAAATTAAAAAATATTTATGAAGATTAGACTAGTTCAAAAATAGTTTAAAGTGACCAGAGGAATTTGCCATTTCTTATTATCTACCATCGGCCTAATGTTCAAATAAATGAAATGTACGTATCTTGAATGCACATTTCTTATTCTACTTTCTACTTGTACATTGTATTAACATGATCAGTCCACAACACATTGACGAAGTTAAATAGTAACTATATTCGACTCACTTTCGTCATTAATGAAGTCGCTTAAGGACTCTACAAAGACTTCTTAGTAGACAGTATTACTGACCAATATAAGATGGAAACGGGAATATTTGAATATCATATGAATTGCTATTTTCATTAGTTGTTAAATAACATAATCTAGATTAAATTTTATGGCACAAATTCCACACAGAAATACAGTTCAACATTTCAGGTCGTTGGTTGATTTAGCGTAAATATTTTAGCTTCAGGTTATAATTCTATTTTCAAGTATCAATTATCTTACTGAATAATTTATAATGAATTTGAAGCAGTCAACATAAATCACGTAATCATTAACTGATTGTAATGTTAAAATGGTTAAAAAAGAGTGACAATTGCGCTAAACAATCAGTTTTCGCAGTCATTCAATCGGTGTTCGCGTCTGATACTAAGTCGGTAGAAAAGACCATTATTGGGTTGTCTGTTCATGCTTTGTCAACCGGAATTTGTTACTACCATTGAGTTAACTACAAGGTGTAGCACAAAGTTTGCCAAAATGTCACAAAGAAACCGAGATAATAGCTTTTCCAACACCTGATGAAAAATATTTTTCAATATCAATTGGTTTAAAGACAAAACACTGATTACTTATGAGGCGCATCTTTACTCAGTATTACAAATCAACAATCTTACTGAGTTTATAATCTTTCTGAAAGGATAGATTAACTAAGTGAATGAGTAATTACTGAAGCTGTGATGTTACATAGAGTAGTTTACTGTTAGTATTTGATACTATCATTATCGAGTCTATTATTACTTTTCATTAGAAATACAAAAGAGTGAATTTTATTGACGATTAAAAAGTTTACTCATAGATTTATTATTACTGCGACTGAGATTGCATGATGCATCCATTTTTCATATGTTTTTGTACAATTCAACGTTAAAATCTTATGTAAATTCGGTAGTAAATATAAGTTTATTTTTTGTCTAAACAGTAAGTATTAAAGTTATTATCGCAGCTTTATTCAGTACAGGACAACTAGTGTTTTTTAAAAGTTCCAAAACACAACAAGAGGCTCATAAATTTTCCGATATCACATTTTGCTTATCAGTGTCGAGATAAATCTACAGAGGGAACTAAAAATTAAAGGGTTTATTTTTCTTGTTCTTATCTAATACTGATCAAGAAAAAAATCGTCAATAAATAAAACATCTAACTTGAAAGTTTCCTCAACTTCATGATTACGAGAAACGACATAAAAATTCGCTTAGTTTTTTGTCATCTAACAAACCTTGAAAAACTAACCTTCCGTTGTAAAGTTTCTGAATCTATTTTTACTTCATGTTCACGGATGAACATAGAGTTCAAACCTTACTAAACATAATATGACTTTATGTCCAGAAATCAACTAAAAGTTGAATACATAAACCTGAGGATAGTCATTATGTTTCAGTAATAAATTCGAATTTTATTACCTGGTGAAAATAAGCAGGTGTTTTTCACGATATTGATATCTTATCAAATCTTATCCAGGAAATAAACAGGTATGATTATAAACAAAATTCACTAAGATTTAAATCGTTTCTCAAAAATTGAAGAAATATAAAAATGAAACACTCACTGATTAATGACAGCAGCATATGTGGTCTTGTCTTCATCGATTACAGAAACTAGTAACGTAATTAGACGATGCCAAAATACCAACGATTTCAATGAAGGTGAACCTTCCTCTTGTGTAACAGTCTCCTGAAAATGATGTACATAGGAACGAATTATGTAAATATAAAATGAAACCAATGAAAAAGAACCTGGAAAAATATTTACATCATTATATTAATTTCTCTAATATAAATATATCTTTCAATAATCAACTCATTTTCCATTCATTTATACAATGATATACATTGAATAACATAACAGTTAATCAAGTTTAATTTGCTTTGAAATATTTCCTTGAAAATCATCTGTCTGCTGATTATCAAAATGAGTAGCTTCCAACAGTTTTGTCTTTTAAAATTGTGTAGTTTATAAAACTTTTCATTGCACCATCGATATGAACATAGGGATTTTTTTAAGCAGTAACATGGCAAAAAGTTTATAGTCTGGGTTTACGTGTGTTCTTAACGGTTAGGCGTTGAGTAAAAACAAAGTAGCATGCAATCTGAACAAATCGTAGGCGATAGAGTATTAACATTACCTTTATCTGTCCATAAATTTTAATTTTTTCTAAGTTCAGGTTAAAAATGATATATTACGAGGAATTTTCAACTTTAACGATTAGAAATTGTTTTGTTTGTCGAATTTATTTTGTCAAACATTAATTTACAGCTTACAAAAAGTAATTTAACGAAGGTCTAATGTCAAAAACACAATTATTACATTCTATCTGTTTGGTAATAACATCTTGATTGTAATAATTCGTTTCATCGATTATTTCTTGAGTTGTTACGTTAAATGATATTCTCGAAATTTACACTTACATATTCATAAACACCTATTAGTGTGTATAGTTAGAGCTGTACATAATTATAACTGGGCACACATATTTAATATTCAAAGGCAAATCATTATAATTAAAGTTACGTTTATGATGTATCGGGTAAATTAAAGCAACAATCATTTAATAGTTAATTTGACCATCTTTTGTAAGTACGTACAAATGTAGATAATGAAAATTCCCATTCGGAAATTGAGTTAGAAGAAAAAAACGATTAGAATGAATGAACTTCTTTTTGATTAGCTTTTTTTATCATATATATATATATATATATATATATATATATATATATATATATATATGTACAAAGTTGAAATAATACTATATTAATAGTTGTGTAATGTAGTAATTATATAATTTCACCCTGATTATGAAATACTACTGGGTGATTGGAAGAAAGACGATGATAAAAATCAAAGTAATTATCAGAAAAAAAAACATTTCATTTAGCAGTTGCTACAATATAAAATATTAATAAAGGATAGACAAATTATATTTTGATGAAATGTCAGTAGTATTGTAGCTGTATAAAAAAATTGAGAGAAGGATCTTGAAAACAACAAGGTGCAGAAGTGATAGAATTCACACAAATGTTTGAAAGAATGGGTTTGATTAAAGTTTATTTAAAAATCATTCTTATACCAATGTCTATGATAGTGAGAGTGGTGTTTGAAACTTCTTTTGAATTCAAAGGTTAGGCTTGTAAACACATGTATTCTGATAGCTTCAGCAATATGCAAAAGACAAACTCGTAAACCAAATGGTAAGTTTCATGGTAAATGGTGAGTAACTTTAAAAACTTTATTCAAGTCAACTTGAGGTCAGTAGCCCACCAAGTGAAAGAGACTCGAACTCTTTAATCATTCTTACCCGTCCTTTGCTCAACCAACGTGGATGGTGTTTCACTATGGAATGATGGACTTGTTAGCCCTTTATAAAACTGGCTGCACAGTAGCAATTGAGTTGATAAATACATATGAATGTGACTAGTTCAGATAATCTGTCTTTGTTGATGGTTTTTGTTATCAAACGGCTGTAGAGAATTGCATTCAGTTTGACTGCAGTAAATGATTTCAGAATCGCATTTTTAACTCTGTAGTTTGCTCCAAAACGTCATTTAGACGTTATAATTATAACAACATTACATTCTTCGGATTAGTAATCATCCTTAGTTTTATTCTTCATTTCGTTCATGTGTCTGTTCATGATTTCCATTTACTCTTCACTCTTACTAGCTGTGATTACTCAAATTATCTTCAATGGTTGATGAGTTGAATCTGATGAGTTAGATATTTGATAGTATTGATTGTAACAGATTAGTTCATGTGAAAATCTAATCAGTTACATTTTGGAAAAATATTAACAATGTACAATTGTGAAGAATAATAGGGCAGAATGAAACATGAAACAAATTACTATTAGATACATTAAGAAAAAAATAAACACTTACTTGAAATTGTTTAGAGTATACTTCATTGACATTTTCATAGATAAATTGATAGGTGGATTGCATACATGCACGTGCACATTCTTTCACTACTTGACTAGCTCTAGGTGGACTAGTCAGTTCTTGAACCTAATGAGAATAATACATATTGTATTATGAAATTATAATTCTTTGTGAAAAAACCCCATTATATTTAGTCTTAACTGAATGAATCTACCGGTTCTCAAGTGTTTCTTGGTTTTAAATACCATTTTCCACCATAAACGCACTAAAAAAATATGACTGAATTGCCCAAACTCATGGAATTTTATCACTTGATCTCAGATTGGTAGATAGTTCACACCAAACAAGAAAATTGTATGATTAAAATTCTGGTGATACCTAGGTTCATACATGGATAAATGAAAAGATTTGTTGCTTGTATGTAATAAAAGTGTACAGTGAACGATCGTCTGGATTAAATGTGTTGTATCATGAGAGACAAATGGAAATCGATCCGTTTTTGCATAGAATTGTTATATCTATTAGCCGATTTGCTAAAAATACACATTTTTGTCTAATATCAGTAGATGATATTCATCGCAAATCAAAAATACCTACAGTGTATATAACTTAGTGAATCAGTATAGGTAAAAGAATATTGTATTTAAAAAGTCTTTTAAATTAATAACTGTTTAAATTTAATACAAAAATTATTGAGTAGGACTGATTAATGACAAGTCACTTGCCTTAAGGTACATTTACTAAGTATTGCGAGGTAATGTTAACTTTTAAATCAGAAACGCGGCTACCTCCGTTAAAAATATATACATTTTAGAGTTGAGTAGGAAGTAAGTTATTCTCCAAACAGGGACTTGTGTTATTCTTGGGGTATATTGTTTACCAAAGAACTAGCAGTACTACCCAGTCACTCAAATGCAAGTAGATGAAACATGGTTTAAAACTGTTTATCTATTCCATGGAACGTTTGGATCACTTACTGAGGGATGTATCCCTGTGTACTTATGTGTTTCTGGCATTTTTGAGAAGCAATTTTTTACTTTATTAAGCCTGAATGATACTCAACTTTTACGATTACATTTTTATTTAGAATATATTTCTTCGAGGGAAGATACTGTTAAGGCCTATGTCAATAGGCTAACAGATGAGACTTTCAGTTTATTTTATTCATTGACAGTTATAACATCTTTAACCGTTTGAAAATTGTAGTAATTTCATTATATGCATGTTGTTTAATTCGGTACAATAAATGTCCTAGTTTTGTACATATTATAATGTTTTATTTATGATAATATTGTAGTCTCCTATTTAGTGTATACGATCACATGAATTTGTAACTAGCTAGTCGTTCTGAAGTTCTGACTGATAATTATTAGAAACAAGCGAGACTATTCTCTCATTTGACGCAAAAATATAAAGCAGTTCAAGCAAATACATGTTTAGTGGGTTTAAGAAAAAACAAAACATGATGACCAAAAAATAAAGATAATATTCGGAAATCAAAACATTTAGCCATTTTTGTAATTTCGATTCAGGAACAAAAATTTAGTCTTCCCTTCGGATTAGCTAAATTAAACCTTAGCAGTATTACATACAGAAAAAGGTATTTAGCCAAGTCCAGTAAAATAATTTCGTTCATGTAAAATCAAGAGTTTAGTATAGAAAAAATATTTCAACGTATGACACTGTAATGCTCAGAGATTTTAATTAATCAAATAACAAAATGGTTGACATCTGACGTTTCGATTAATTTAAAAGTATCGAACGAATAGTGATTCATTTTATTGGGGACAAAACCGTGTGACGTATGAATTGGGAGCATAATATACCGAAAATTTCTTCGAATAAATGCTTGATGTATAGTTTAGAAAATAAGGCGTTCTTAGGACAGTGTTTAACTTCATTCAAGTTTGAACACTGTGGAACCGGTAATCTCAGCATAAATAAGTATATTTATTTGGTTAGGTGTGAAGATAAGTTCAATTTTTTAAATAGTTTTTCATTACGGATCGACTATAACTAGTAAATCATTTCTAACCAAATAATACCACATGGTCGTTTAATCCTGATTTGACATTAACTTCCAATAATATTTCCATAGTTTTATTGATAAGTTTTGACTAAACGAGTGAGAGAAATATGCATATATGGTCTTACTACTATACTACAAAATGAATGAGCTGAAAATATTGATCGTTGTATTGTGACTTAGTTGTGTACAGATAACTCTTTAGGTTCGATCTCCATAGAGTCTGTGGATTCATACAGCTAAAGAATTACAAACCTTGGAAGAACAGGCACTCAAAGGTTATCGGTTTTCTATGGTTAACTATATGAATTTAGTCCGTGACGAAAATTATCTCTAAATTGGATTACGTTTAAATGATATCAGCAACATCAATTACGATCTCGAAAAGAAAACTGTCCTTTTCTATGAGACTTAGAAGGGAATTATTTATTATCATACTGTGAGATAGTAATGGCTGTCATTTAAAGACAAGCAACACAACCAGACTGTTAACAAAAATGTACACTTTTATCGCTGGTATTTAAATGGAAAACAATCACAGTACTAATAATTAATTCATTTATGAAGACTAGTCAATTCGAAAATTCCTTGTAAAATAAAACATTAAATGGAGCATGTGAATACATGTACTATATTAAGGAAATGTTAAATAAACGTTCAAAAGTTATCAATCACAGCAGCTGTGTTCAACATAAATAAAACAGGTAAATAAACAAAATGTTAGTCCTATGGTAGCTATTATAATAAAGAATACAATTAAAAGAAGACTGAACACTACAATAATACTGATGAGTTCCATACCAGGACGAAACAGCCGTCCAGTGCTCCCAAGTTTCTAATGGTGGTCTAACAATGATCGATTCATGATTTCAAATGTGGAACTTACTAATCTTTACAACCCTGTAATGCAGTTACATGTACTCACTAGTGACTATTTCCGTGAGGAATCTTCTCCTAGTTATAGTGGGAAGTCGTGAACAGTGAAGTTCAACCTGTTCGGGTGTAGACATTAACTGCCAAAGACAGTGTATGAGGTTGTGCAACTCCGTGAATTGATCGAAGTTAGACATTAACACGCGCACAAGGCAAAAGGTCCAAGGTTCGAATCCTGCGCGGTGCAGGAGTCGTGGATGCGCACTGCTGATGAGTCCCATACCAGGACGAAACGGCCTTCCAGTGCTTCCAGGTTTATAATGGTGGTTCAACATTGATCGATTCATGATTTGAAATGAATAAAAATGAAGCTTCTCAAGAAACGATAGCATGAAATATTTCAATCACATTACTTACACACATGATGACAAGTATGAAGAAAAGTAAACAAACTGTGTCATCGATTTTTCAAAAAACTTACTTTCATTCGAAAGAATGTAATACTGGTTAAAAGATCTACAGTCGATTTCAAATCTTGCAATTTATCCGGTTGTGAAGCAGGAAATGAATTCTGGTAAAAAATAAAAAAATTTAGCAACAAAAAGTTATCAGTTGAATATAGATGAATATATTCTAATTCTAAAGACACGTATAGTTTCATTGATAAAATAATTCATGTGAGTGAACATTCATTTTAAAAAAACAAATGAAATAATTCACATATGCAATATAGTTTGGTTATATTTGAATAGTAAATTAGTTACAACAGCTGTAAACATAATTTAAATGGGAATAAATAAAAGATTCTTCAAAATTTATATTTATTCACATGTTTGAAGTCACACAAGCATGTTTTTTTACACTTTGCCTAGATTTATTGAATTATCAAACTTTACTATTATAACCTACAAGTTCTACAGTTTGCATAGATAAGTAAATAACTAGTAAGGAGAAGCTGTAATTTGCAGACAATCTTAAAGAGATATCTGTATAGATGAATGATTTTTAAACAGAGAATAGAGTTGCTACTTTACGTCTAATCAGTTCAACCATAAATTATTTTTATCATTAAAATTCTAAAATCTATTGGCTTATTTTAAAACATAGTGATCATAATGAAAACATAACCCATCACTATGATAAAAAATTCTGCACGATATCGTTTTATAGCATTTCTAGTTTACAGTAACAAAATTAATGAAGTTTAACCTCAATCTACATAAATCACTGTAGATAAAAGAAATTCGAACTATGATTTTGTCTAAAGTACTCGACTAGCAATCGCATACTTCAATATCTTGGATAGAAAAATAGTCTTTTATTTGATTAATAAGTATTTCTGGGTTATCATTTCTATTCATGTAAAAATGAACACAATTCTCTTTGTACAATCTTGTTAATTATCACTAGTTTCAATGATATGAAACGGATCATTATTTTTTGACTATAGGGAATCAGGGAAAAATTCATGTATGTGAAAATGAAATGACACTAACAGGAGGACAGGATCAAAGTGGTCAATAAAACTTTGATATTTATTTGGCTGATACTTTCTTAGAAGTAGTTTGTGATGTAGATCATTTGGATTGATTTGTTTGATACTTTAATTAGTGGCTTTGAGATAGTTTATTTCGATGTTTGTAACATGGTACTGTTAATAACATGAGAGTTGAAAGAAACAAAATAGTTAGACTTCTTAAACAGTTATTTGAAACGATAACGAAGAAAAATACATATCTACATAATTAATTGTATAAGATAGATCACAGTAGGGTTTACAAATAGAAAGAGACTACTCTAACAAAACTTTCATGTTGAAGGTAGCCGTTTGTATTGTAATGCTCGATAAGTAAGCTGTATCCAGCATTTTCTCGAATGATTTTCAAATCATTCAGTTAGTAAATTCTACATTTAAGAGTGTAGTGTTCATTTGAAATTCTACTTGAACTAACTGAAGTTTTCCCCATCTACTATGAACATACTTATGTATACATTTTAACATATAATATACAAAACAAAAATAGATTACAATGTAAAGCTTGAAATAAAATCTCCAGTGAAAAGTAATCTCATACATCGTAAAGTACTCGCCCACTAACGAAACAAAATAAACACCAAAATGATGAATGCCACACATTGAAAAGTCGATCGATATCCTTACTTAACTAGAAGAAAAAGTCAGATTAAATAAACAGCTAACAAAAATGACAACATATGACAAGAAGAGAGAATTCATTGAACAAAAAGCGAATAAAAAACAACAGAATTTGAGAATGAAGTTGAAATTCGTACAAAAAAGAAAAAAAGTAATCTAATTTGAAATGTTGTTAATAATTATCAGTTCAGTATATTACAAAACTTAAAAACTATCAAGAATAAACATACTCACTTAACGTGGAATTTTCATGAGAAGAGTGAACAATAACTATCAGTACTGCTACCGCTACTATTGTCGAATCGAATGACACTCGGGTACAAACCCAATTTGAACACTCAACTTATCGAAAACATATATCTCAGGGGAACTTTGTTGGCATGAAATCGGTTACATAAAAGTTAATTTAGTGTAACGAAAGGATTCTATCTTAATGTTTGCTATCAATGCTAATCAATGACAAACAACACATGCTTCTTTTTTTCAAAGTCAAACAAACATCCATGGAATTTCACTTGTTCACTTCTACACAAACACGCACACACATGCATTCATACTTACACAAATGTGCTAATCATCTTCTTTCGGCACAGTTAGGATAACAAACAGAAGAAACGCATTTTATAAGAGTGTTACGTATACACCAAAAATATTGGACAAAATTATTGCAATCCAATTGAAACAAACAGTAAATTTAATGAAATACTTTAATAACCATACAAACACATTATCAAATATCCAATATATAAATATATTTTCATCAATGGTGGATGAGGTGAATTGTGATGAATAAAACGATATACAGCCAATTACTAATCTATGTTAGAATGAATTGATTTTATATTTCAAATAGGTAAAAAAGAATTTGTCAGACGAGTGAATACTGAAATGAAGATCAACAACAGCCTCCCCCTTCTCACAGAGTGAAATTAATTCATTTTCTAATCATTAACATTTTTAATAATAAGATAAAATTTAATTAGAATAAAGCGTTATTTTATTCATGACTTAAATAGCTTGAATGAAAAATAATCAAATGAATGGATCACTGTTAGACCACCATTAGAAACCTGTATAAGCACTGAACGGCCGTTCCATCCTAGTATATGCGATTTATCAGCAGCATTCATCTACAACCCCCGGCACGTGGGTATCGAACCTAGGACCTTTGGTCTCGCGCACCAATGCTTAACCTGTAGACCAATGAGTAGGCACATCCAACGGTGTTAATGTCTAGTTTCAAATTTGGGAAATTGTAATTAAAATAACAAATTATTTCACTTACACGATACATAGATAAACTGATGCGTAAAGAGTTGTGTAATTGATCCAATAGTTTGACGAATTTCTCTTTCTATAAAACACAAAATACAATATGAATGGAATTTCAATTCAATACAATAATGATAATAAAGATATTACTTATTGGATAGATGTTGTCCAAAGTATAGAATAAATAATATCATTACAGTAACAGTAAAAACATTCTATTGTTCGATTCAGATAAGATAACTTGAGAAAAAATAATTCATTATTTATATTATCGGTTGTTCTTTTTTTGTTGTTTACAAAAATCTGTTTTCCTTTAATTAAAGCAATCTATCAAAGGGTAAAGTGTTAGTTAAGTTCAATGAGAGATAGAAAGAGAAAAAAAGGCATTTGAGCGAACAGTGTGAGAGTTATTTTTAGAAAAAGCAAACAAGTGGACACGTGAACAACACACACATACTAACAAACTACCAGAGACATATAATATTGTATTTTCGGATGACATTGTTACCTAATAATTACCGAATAATAAATAAGTAAATGAACTCCTCAAAGATTTTCATCTTGCCAAGTCAAGGGAGGTAAGAGGCGTTTATATAAAGGAAGAAATTTCATAGGTAAGCAATCCAATCGTTACGTCGATCGATCAATAAGTTAATCAATCTGATCAGCATATGGTAAATTTACTGATGTCAACATTTTGTTTTGTTATTTTCTATCCTCAATTGTTATAAAATGCTATTGTGATTGGAAAGTAAATATTTTTTAAAAAGATAAGCTAAAATGATGATAAATTTCTCTAGATAATCACTACTTTAATTTTGATTTCTGTTTAATTTGGTTGAAGTTAACAATGCTTGTGACTAACAGTCTGTCTATGTTGATTTAAATTGTTATAATAATTCAGTTATTTCACACTTTCGGAACTTTATTTCTGGCTATAACTACAAATCAGTCGGATTGAACAATATGAAAAAATTTCAAGCACAGATGGATAATGGTTGACAGTGGAATACAAGACACGCGTTTCGTTGTACCTGCATCCCGAGTCTCGGAGTAAACATCAACTCTGGGAAGTAGGTACATCAAGCTGACGAATCCCAAATATGATGAAACACTTGTCTTGAATTCCACAGTCAATGGCTATCCATCACTGCTTAAAATGCCTGTGACCTTATGGCTATATTGAGGTAATACGCACAGGATGCGCATATGCCAAATAAGATTGATCTATTACAGTACTAATCATCAATGGGAAGATTCAAGCTACCAAAACAAATGAATTAATAATATTTCAGTTACTATCAATATAATTCACACGAAAAAAATCAGTAAGTGACTAGTATTCAATATTATCTCGTCTGGTATTTATTACCGATGGGATTCTATCGAGCAAATGATAGTAGTGGTAGTAGTAATTACAAAGGTAATCTTTTAAGTTGGCCTCAAATTATTTTGTGTTTTCTTTTGTTGGTAAACCATATTTTTGACATACGAAAAAATCCTCAATAATTATCAGTTTATATTACCACGCCCATTGTTAACATCCTCTGATCGGTTACTTTCTCCTAGAGTTTGTTAATTTTCACAAATACATTGTTGTTACTAAATAAACCAAACTTTTAAACCATATTTCTGACTTTTAGCAATAAAAAAGCTTTTTTTTTTATCAAGAATCACCTTCTCTCCTTTCTTGTTATGACATTAGGTGATAACAAGTTAGAATTTCTATAGTTACACGCACAGTAGCATCTCGTAACTGAGAATAACAAGGAGAAATTTAGTTTCAGGTTTTAATGTTCTAAGATTCGAGACTTAACCTCTCTAAACGAATCACTGAATGACACATGTCTGAATTTCAGCTTTAGCATTAGTTTCTTTAAAACGAATATTCATAGTAAGTATAAGTTCATTAGATTCAGAATAAGAGAGTATAGACACGTGAAAGACTGAAATTTAATCGTAAAACTCCATGAATTACTGTTTAATTAACCGCCATGGTACGATCATGATGTGCTATCCATCTATTATCAGTAACAACATCAAGATTAAAAGTGATGAAACAATTTATTTTTTAAGTCAGTGAAAATGTTATAATTATAATTATGAGAATAAATGCTGGAACCTAAGAATTCAAATAAAGAAAACAAATATTATATTGACTTACACCAAAGTTACTTGCACTGAAACGTTCCGAAGCTGACTGATTACTAGAAGCTGATGTATGCGCATAAAAGGCATTAATATTAGCTAGAAGGTTAGACATAGTAGCCGGTACGCCAGTACACATATATTTGGTTGTTAAGCAAGAAAAATGCCTAAAAAATAAAAAAAATTTTGATTAGATTTAATGAACTTTTGAATCATGAACAAACAATAAGCAATTTTTATGGGAGCGAAAATGAAAAAAAAAAACAGAATTCGAAGATACAACATATTTCAGTGTCGCCATACGTTCGTTATGGGGATACTTTTTAACTACACTGGCTACTGTTCAAATAGCTACAGTTCAGCTTCGGTCGGATTATCATTCAACTGTGTTCGTGGAACAGGATAAGTTCTCACCTCAGGTTACCTCCAAATGTGTGTACCAGTTTACGTTCAAATGTCAACGAATTTAAAAAATTTTCAATAGTAGAGTTGCCTCTCGTTTGCTTAACTACAGAAAACAAAGTAGTATTTTTGCTGGGGACGTAAGATTCCCAGAACTCACTTGATCAAGGTCCTAATTTTGGATTTATTCATAGGCTGATCAATTAACCTTGAGGTTGCATTTCTCAACCGGAAAATCTTTGACTGTCATCAGTTGATGAATTATTTTATGACGCTATTTTGTGGCTATCCCAAAGGCGTTTCAACCATGTATAAATAAACTCGATTTGTGTGCTTGTCGACCTCATATTTTCTGGGTGCTTGTATAATACACTTTCTACGTCTTGTCAGGACTTCTCGGTCTATTTAGTGGGGCCTTGAGACGCTCGGATTAGAATAGCCTATTGTGTCACTGGATCATTTGTCTTCACCCTCGTTTACCGACTAAGGTGAACTCGTAATAATTTTAAGCATGTCAACTGACGAGCATATCAGTTTTATAATCTTTCAAGGTGATTAACAAGCAACCGACTTCAAACTCATTGCACTTTGTTGAGGTTATCACCACAAAAAAATTTAACCGAATTTATGTATCCATAAAGATAATGTTTTTAATTTTGCTTGCCTTGGAAATTTAAAATCCAAGAATTGATTAGGTAGTACCGGTTTTTCATACTTTTGATAATAATCATTTCTGAATTTTTCTTTCATGTTCTTGTGCTGAGCTTTATTCGGTTGATCAGTAGGCTTTATAATTGCCATTACATAACCGATGGCATTAAACTTTAATTTCTAGAATTCCATTCCTATTGTTTTCCTAGTTTTTCCTTTCAAAATATTTATTTAGTTAGCCAATTAACAAATAACCATTCTTCCACATAAGTATTGTCGTTAATTAGTCTACATCTATGTCAATGCCGTCACGAATTGAAACTTTTTACATAATTACAAAATTCTAGTTATCATTGGTTGAGTTATTGTTATTGTAGAAAGTTTCACGAATTCACAACTCTCTAATGACCAACCTCTTTATGAAAAACAGATTTTAATTGACCATTATTGATCTCTGTTTCCACTTGAATTGCTATAGGTAGTGCATCTAATCATTACCACGGAATTTTTAAATTTTTTTGAACTAATTATCTTTGCTTCAAAGTATTTCATAGAGAACAAATCAAATATAATATCTAATCTGGTGGGTTGAAAGAATTAACGTCACAATCAGTTAAATGAGAAAAACTACATTCTTGGTCAAAATAGTGAAATAACTAAGAATAGGCCTGAACAAACGTGTCAGTTTATAGTCGGGATTGTGAACTAATTAAGTTAAAACTGGATAGAAACAATAAAAATTTTAAGCGTAATCATACTTCTGGACAAAATGTAACTGACAAACTACTTTCGTTTATTAATCATTTGAAATCAAACAGCTAAAACTCGATGTAAGATTAATCGATGTATAAGTCATAGTAAATAGTTAATATTAACAAAATGCATCCAATCATTCAACTTGATTATCTCTAGTTTAGGTGTTCGACGATATTAATCACTAAACAGAATAGTTAACTACAACACAAGTCCTTGATTACATAAAAATGTTCTATGAATTACAACAACGACGACTAATGATAATACTTACATAGTTAAACCTTTATCATTAGACCAGAGTTCAAAACGAAGTGATTGACTAAAAGTGAATTATATTAAATAATCTATTCCAGTCAATAAAAAAACTCTGACTAGCCCTGAAAGATGGTATGGTAGTGTCATTCTCTTACAGCTATTCAGGCGCCACTAATTCACAGCGGAAAATATTTTAAATTTCTCTATCAACTTTCTTCAGTTATCCAAATTCATAATTACTGTCACCAACAGAAATCATTTGTGAATATTAGATGATGGAAATCTGTTTATAGGGGACAATTTTCTTTGTAAATTTTTCCTATGAAATTTAATTATACAACCATGGCAAAATTTGTGACCGTGAAAATATTACGAGTAATTTATCATTAACTTTATTTGTTTGTATAGAATAAAAGAAAAGAAAAATCTAAACGGATTTACCATGACGTTGACTTACGTCATTGCTTGATAAATCGATTCAATCCCATAACGTATAGCAAACTCATTGACAATATCTTGTGCAGGCGGATCGAAATATACCTTCCAAGCATCGTCCTAAAAAGTGGCATACGAAAAATTCATGAAAAAATGTGGTTTATGGATTAACTGTAACATCATCAATTATATGCTTAAGTTGAAAACACCACTATGCATTTAACATTCCAAAGATAAGTTGTACGGCACGTTCAATATGTCACGAAGACGATTATGTTTCATAACATATCAGTGCATCCATTGGGATGTTTGCGATAAACTAGTGTCGCTTTTGAAAAAAATATAAGCCAAGGATAGTACTGTAAAGCTTCAAATCACGGAGTGAACGTTATAATTTTGGACCACTTATCCTAAACCAAGTGGTTCGCAGTTAATTTAGAAGATGAAAGTAGTTTACAAACATGTAAGGGGGTTAGAAATGAAGGTAAGGGTAATCGAATAATGACTAAACGTACCTAGTGCACAGTATAATTAAGGAGAATAATCGGTGCCAAAGTGTTCGGAATTTACCTGGCTCATTCAACAAATTAATTTTCATTTGTAATTACTATCAAAATCAATAAAATGCTTACTAAAAATTCATACCCAGTAGATATCTACTTCATTGCTTTACAAAGTTAGCGCTAATGAAATCACTTAGTTTGATAATTATTTATTCAAAATCAATGATACTACCCTTAAAAAAAATACTAAAATATTTTTTTTCGTGATCTACATAGTTACTATTGTTCAAAATTAAATATTCACTTAATGACCAAGTGTAAAAATAAACTATCAGTGTACGATTTACAATTTCCATTAAAATTATCGAAAAATTAATGAATTCATTAAGAATTAGTCACTCAGATGATGACCTAATTACAAAAATTCTTTTTAAAATATCTAAAACTATTTTATGATCACATATATTTTTATAATTGAACCCTTTACTCAAATTTACACTTAGTGATTTCATGCTTATTCATAGTCAATATAGAGTTTAGTTTTTAAAATCGAAATATTCTTGTATTTTTTTGAAAGTATAACGAAATTCACTGAAAAAAACGTTATTGCATATAAATAAATCATAGCTTCCTATGGTGTAGTCAATCTTTTGGTAGAATTATTCTTACGAATTCCTCTATTTATGAAGCATCAATCAGATAAAACAAAATAAAAATATCGCATGATCTTTAATGAAGTTGAAATTTATCACTAGAAAGAAATATAACCGAGAACATGAATGAAATGATTTTCAGTAGAATTAATAAATAACTGGAGTATTGCAAAGCATTCGAAACCTAACTCTATTAACTCCTAGTTTCGTTTAATCTCACACTGGCTTTATTTCTAGTTGTGTCTATTTATTCCTCTAGTGCATGTTAGTGCATTTTATGTGCTTATGTGCTAATGTTTTTCTCACGTTCTTTCTTCTTCCAAATAATCTCACACGCTGTTCGTAAAACACACACCCCAGCACATAAGGTACCTTTGGGCTAAATGCAAACCAACCAAAGGCTGGAGTTACATATCAAGGTTCTGAGTTCATTACAAACTAGGATCAAGGTCAATAAACTAGTTCATTAAAACCGATTAAAAATTAAATGAAAATGACAAGCTTATGTATAAATAGACATGCTTATTTAGATGATAGCGATAAATTAACCTCAATAAAAAAAACAGAACAATAAATGAAGTAAGGAAAAACAATGCAAAGAATTCAACTTACCCCAGAGGCATCAGGCAGTTCAACTTCTGGTTTACCTTCAATTTTATTTGTTTCACATAAATAATGAAATATATTCTAGATGTATATAAATATATATATTTTGTTGGGACAAAGTAGAGACGAATTGAATGAGAAGTATGACATACAAAAGGGAGAGAGAAAAAAAGAGAAAACATGAATACTTTTTCATTGAGATTATCAGTTAGTTGAAGAAGCCTCAAAACAGCTGTTATATAAGAAATGAAAACAATTTATTTCTTTCAGTGAAACTAAGAGTTACATTTTATGAATCTGATAACAACATATAACTAGTAATTAGGCAATTTTCCACTACTATTAAAATTAACGCATGCTTTTATTTTTTGGTGTAAATAATCAGTTTGCTTATTGGCTAAGTATCAATGAAATGTTTATAAAACTAGTCGGAGTATTACTGTTTTTAATTAAGAGAAGAGAATGTTTAATATCTTGTTTAAACTTAATAGGTGTTAATGAATTAATAGAGTAGTAGGTATGCTGTTACCGGGAAAGGAATCAGGTAGCTGATGTAATCAATAAATCTTTTTCATAAATAATAGATATGAAGTATTCATTATCAACTTTATACTTTCATAAGCAGTATTGTATGAAATGAAGAAATAATCACAATAAAGCGAAGATCAAAGGATATATGTCTCTTTAAGATATACAAATAGAAACAATTAAAAGTTCTCTATTTGTTCCAGACATGTAGATTCAAATAGGATGATCCTTAATACAAAAGTCCATTCTGTTGAGTGTTTGATTAGTCTAGGAAGGTTTATATTGTTATGCTCGTCACTTGAAATGCTAGGAACTATTACGGGTTCACCTAAGTCGATAAATGAGAACAAGACAGTGAACCAGTGACACTTTATGCTACTCTGATCGATTGTCCAAAAGGAACTAACGAAGAAGTTTTGTTATAGCGTAAAATATGTATTCTACAAGCAACCAGCAAACACAACGATCTCAAGCACACAAATCGTGTTTATTTATGCATCATAGAAACGTCCTTGGGAGAGCCACCAAAACATCACACTGAAATAACCCAGCAACCAGTCACAGTCAAGGGTTTTCCTGATGAGAAATGTGATCTCAAGGTAAACTGATCGGCCCATGAATAAAATCCAAAATTAAGACATTTATCAAGCGAGATCCGGGGATCTAACGTCCCCAACACATATTTTGTATGATGAAATTAGTTTGTTTATTTTGCTGAGAAATTGCTTTCATCCTAATTTTTTAGTTTATGTTGTGGTGCGCGCTACTTATAAGTAGTATATGACGCGAGTGAAAACGTAATGTCTGGCAGCAGAAGATGGGGGGAGATCAAGAAAGGAAGAGCGGGAACACAATGGGATTTGTATGAAAAGCATGAACAGTGGAATGTCAGACAAGCGATTGATGTTTGCAACAGGAACAGTCCAGTTCGATATGATAGATTGATATTTTGCAAATTAACGATTTACGATATGGTTTTCCTATTTTAACAATTAACTCTGTAATGTGCGATAAATACAATTCGGTTGCCCTCACCTTCACTACAATATTTATCAGTATTGACTGTGAAATTTGTATGAAACAATTTTATTTTGATTTTAATATATATTCAACGGTAACTGGTTATGATTGTTGATTGAATAATTATTTTAACGCATACACTTTGATTAACTGTAATAGCTAATGCATAATTATAAGATAAAAAAAAACCACAAACATGACTAGTTGATTGTTGTCAACTATTAGCTTTGAAGTTTGCCACAGTATCATTACAAACATACAAATAGATATGTGTTTAATTTTTAATGAACACATTTTATCATTAATAATATTTCATATAGATAATCAAAAAATTATCGTTTGTATATTATTGTGATCAAAAATATCATGAAAACGAAAGAAAGAAAAAAAAGACAATCCCAATACCATGTTTTTTTTTGTGAAATAGGACAGAAATAGGCAGAAAAACAAGATTTTACATTTTAAAATGTTCTTTTCTTAATAAAGAAAGAAAGGAGAGAAACGAGAGAAAGGAAGTGACACATTCACATGAGAAGTATAATAGAACGAATAGAGAGGTTAAAGCGTGGAGAGAATTTTCTCGGGAAAAAAGAAGAGATTTCCATTGTCTATTTCGATCGGTTTATATTTCATAATTTTTTTGTCAGGAAAAAGGAAACGTGTTATTGTTTCCCAGTAAAATATCTAATAATAACACGATCAGTCTAAATGTGTTTTTTTTAAGATCTATTTATAGAATGAATTCAACTGTCTTACACTTTCGCTATTGTATAATAATAATGATAATAACAGTAAGATTACTGAAATTCACAAACTTAAATGAATTAAACAAATCAGATTTGGATGTTTTTTCGTTCTCTTGCAGTTATTCTTCATTGGCAAAAATTGGAAAATTTCAAAAAGAAGGACAATTAAATATTTTATTAATGAGGACTCATGAAACGAAACTATATTGGATTCAGGGTTATGGTTTAATGTTAAACAACAGTATGCCTTCAAGTCAATGAGTGACAATTTATTAACGGATGATACTGATAATTTCATTTATTCGCAGTATTTCACGATGATTATTCGATGACTTGTATGATATCTATTTCGCTACGGAAGCAAATGAACTCTTGAAAAGTTTATATTTGCATGCATAGATGCCATACGATATGGAAAGATTTGGGTATCATCTGGTTAACTCCAGTGGTTAATAGAAGATCTATCGATTAAGCTAGATATGTTACATGAAATTGTATTCCGTTGGCTAGTAAGATGATAACCTACTTTGTCAACCAACTATCATCTTAGTGATCTGAGAATAATCAATGTTTATGAAGATATAATGTGTATAATAACTAATCTTGTGAATAGTAAGACCATTCATTCTTTTTATGTTCTGGTGTTTGATTGGTCTTTATTAAACAAGTAAAAATCGTGGTGATGAGATATGGGTTCAATTTAAGTATTAATCATCATAATTCTAAAATTATCACTGATGGATTACGTAAAATAGTGAAGTGATGATTAGAAAAAAGTTTTGGAAGAAATAAACTCGGATAATCTGTCAATAAGATCCTAATCATAAGTTCAGTATGAATTTCCATTAAATGTTCAGTTAAAATTTTACTTCTGAGAAAATAAAAATCAGTCATCTGCAAGAGATTCACCAGTTTTTAGCTTCTATGTAGCGTAAACTTTTCGTTATTCAAATAATTGACTCAGAGAACAATGGATTATTACAAATATAATACTAGTAGACAATTTTTGTAATGTCACTCTCAACATACTTCAATTCAAGTACGATGTTGAATCGATTTTGTTAGGATTCGATAATTTGTAAAAGTTCAGTGATCAATAAGTCGAAAAAGAAACATTAATATCAAACATCAATAAACTATTGGTTTAGTTATTTACTTAAAATGAAACATTTTGTGAATATGTTACATATAATCAATCAAATGTGTATTTTCAGAAAACGCTTAATTCTGATTTTATCATATTGATTGCCAAGCTTCAGGTGATTACGTAATAAGAAAACGGCTATGTAGATAGATAAACCACATTGATAATTGTCATTATTGTAGTTTTATTTATTACTAAGATAATATAGCATATGATAATGCTTTTGATTAATAGGAGAAATAGAATAAATATGTCAATTTGATTTTAACAGGTGGTTTGGTGAAGGTGATAAATGTTTGAATGTAATTTCCACCTAACTTAGAGATATCAGTTCGGAATAATAGTTGAAAATACAATCATGATAATGATAATAATCATGTACAACTGTTTTCGCCCACATATAATTGAATGCAGTAATAAGGTTTGACAAATTCACACTTAAGAAAGAAATAGTGCTGTTTAGTTTTCAATAAAACTTTCAACTAGCATCAACTTAATTTGAATCATTTTTGCAAAACTTTGTAACTTGTAAATAAATAAGTGTAATGAAAATACTTTTCAAAAAAAAAGCTAACCTCATGTAAACATGTATATTGAACATGATATGGTGCAACTTTTTCTTCACCTTTAATTTCTACTGAAATGAATAAACGAATTGCACCGGAAACAGCACTTTTATCAGTACGTTTTTCTGAAATAAGTAAGCAAGAATGAAAAACCGAAATAGATGAGAAGTAATTGCGAAATAATGAAAGGGAACAATTAAGAAATAATGTAAAAAAATAAGTGTTTAAACAAAAACGACAACATCTAAACAGTTCTTTGATATAATGCATAATACAACAAGAAGTAAAGTTAGACAATAGATATTAAGAAAAAAATGCAATAAAGACTGATTTGTATATATGTATATTCATATATATTTGAAGGAATAGAAATTAGAACAAATCATTATAGAGGAACAACATCAATTTCAATCAGGTTTTACTCGGGGAATGTAAATGACAGGAGAATTTCCAATACTCTCAAAGATATAGAAAATGATGGCAAAACAAACTGAAATAAAGGCGAATAACTTAATACTCAACAATTGTTAGAATTTAAGAGAATGTAATCTTTACAGGTTAATTAAAGATAAGTGATGCAACTAAATAGAATCTAAACAGAAACATTGTAGAATACACGGTGTTTGAAAGTTTACCATCATTTTTTAGATTTTATTACTAGCCTTCTGTGTATGAAGTGCAAGTAGGCCGTATGTATTTCCAAAGTCATTTGCTCATTTTCTGTTTCCTCCATATTATAACACAGACATTTCCGTAAATGTACTGCCACGCCAGATAAAGACTTATCAATCTTTCAACATTATAGAGAAGATAGATAAAGCGGATTACTAAAGAGCTGTTAACTGATCTACTTGTTAGAGCAATTTCCATTAAGAAATATTCCATGAAGATAAAAGCTATCACAAGACCACTACAAACATTTGTCAAAACAAAAACAAGAATCTAATGAGCTAAATTAAAACAAATAAAAGCACAGGCAAAGGTAACTTCGTGTTTATTTTCATCAAGACCACTACCGCAACGACAACAACAATAGATACAAGTAATCGCATAAAAAATTAGGATTTTACATTTGTTTGAATATACCGTTATTTCAAGTAATTATTATTATTATTATTATTATTATTAGAATAAGACAATGTAAAGCGCCAGTTTCAAAATACAGGAACAAGATGCCTTTAAAGAATATACGATTACAACTAGTTAATATGGTGCAATCAATAGTTTATAAGATTTATATGAACAGAAATACAATTACACAACAACAATCATTATAGCAGTGATTCATGGTCAATTTAATTTAAAACTTCAATCGTTGTAAATCAACACATGCAAATATGAAATTATGAGTTGACATTTTCTGGTAGAAAATATTGAGTCAAAAAAAATCATTATTCAGTTAAACAAGATATTTAACCAGCATGTATGAATTGCGTAAATAATTAAATGTAATGATATTATAACTACACTCGAAGTACACAAGCATTTTTAATGGTAATTAAGTTGAAGTTTAAATTATGGAATGAGTAAGACTAATACACCTTCATAATAATTTCATGTTATATCTGTAAATTCCTAATATGATTCATGGATACGTTTAAGAATTCTTGAATTGGTGCCATTAGCTATCCAACTCTCCTTTCTGTTCCTTAGTTTTCTAGTTGGTAAGATGAAAATTATCATTGTATTGGATAAATTTTTTTAAAAATATCACCTTATTAAAATGATGTCAATAATATTGATGAGTAGTTTGCAATATTGCATGAAGAAAAAAGATAACTGGTGAGCTACTGAAATATCAGTCTCAATTGATGTAACGTAAACTAAGCAAAGTTGTATGCTCATTTTTTCTGTATATTAGGCGAATAAAACAAGTGGAAAATTTTGACAGTTGAAATAGTGAAGAGTTCTCACATACATACAATATAATCATTCAGTTCTCAGAATAACATAAATAATAACAACAATTAAGAATATGAAATTGATAAAATACTGAAAAACACTGAAAAACGGTGGAAAAACAAATAGTCGAGAAAATAAATAGATATTAGTAGTAATATGTTGGAATACAGTGAGAATATTCTAATATGAACTGATCTTGAGAAATATGATAGTGACTTATCCGCAGTGCGCATCCATGACACCTGAACCTCCCAAAATGCCAAGCCAGGACCCTCGGTCGTGTGCGCGGACGCCTAACTTCTAGACCACTGAGCCAGTACCTAACGATGTTAATGTCTAACTTCGATCGATTTGCGGTCTTGCGCAACCACAAACACTGTCTTCGGTAGTTGCTATCTGCATCCAAACAGGTTGAACTTCAGTGGTCACGGACTTGCGTTCGCGCGCAAGACCGAAGGTCCTAGGTTCAAATCCTGAGAGGTGCAGGAGTCATGGATGCACTGTGCTGATCAGTCTCATACCAGGACGAAACGGCCGTCCAGTGCTTCCAAGTTTCTAATGGTGGTCTAACATTGATCAATTCATGATTTCAAATGTGTAACTTAACATTCCCTGTGATGAAATATGAATGTTTTAGTTCTATGCAAACCTATCATCTGCATCTATTATGAAATATTTATTTGAAATCTGTCAAAGATTTATCTAAAAGAAGTCTTTCCAAAGATTAAATTGTATTGAACCTATTCAAAACATTTGATACTTTTTCGTTAACATGAATGTTTTCTAACGTGATATTGAATACATTACATTTATCCGGTCATAGTAGTAAATTTTTTAAAGATGAATTCATCATCATTCACATAATATGAATGTCACTACATGATTGATAGTTGAAAAAATTAATTTATGTTATCTCTGCATAGAAGTCATCAGACCAGGGATTGAATAAAGTTAAACCTGTACATCATTGCATTCTGGCTTAGTGGCTTGAAGCTTAAGAACTCATGCGCAAGAATAAAGGCCCTGACTTCGATTCCCAGGTGAGTGCTTATGAATGCGAACTGTTGAGGAGCCAAATACTAGGAAGGAACAGCCATTCAGTGCTGCCATGTTTTCAGTAGTTGTCTGATTTAGATCGGTTTGCGAGCTCGGTAAAGCAAAATTTTTTCCACTAAGACAATAGAATAATTGAAATCAATAATTGTCGGAGTAGGACGATATGGATGTTATGAAATTTTATAGGATTTCATCTAATATCTCAAGTTATTTGCATCACTTCAAAGATCAAATCAGATTGAGGGTGAAATATAAAAATGCGAAAATGTTTTCATACAGTTGCTGCATAAATGTTGTGTTTTCTTTCGAAGTATTTTATTGGTCACAGGATAAACCAAAAACTTTTAGAGAAAAAACAAACTTGATGGTGAGTGCAATTCAAATAACTTTGTGTTGGTTACAGACATTTCTAGCAGAACTTCACATAAAGTAAACATAGTCTTGAAAAACACTCTACTTGGAAATTCATCTGGATAAAATCATTCTATTGATTCATTGAGTATTGGTGAGACGTCCACTAAGATAATTTCTCAACAGCATTAAAATTGAACAGATTTCGAGCATCAGGCAAAAAAAACCACAATGAGACTAAACAAACAAACACTAGGGAAATCGAAGAATGAATATCATTCAATGGTAAACTATTTCTTTTTTTTGTGAAATGTTTCTTAAACATACCAAGATTATACCATACATCCATTTCACCGGATAATGTACGTAATTCAATAATAGCTTGACCTAGAAAATCATCAGATTCTGAAGTGAGCTTTGAACGAAGTTTAGCCCGTAGATCATTATCTTCATCCCTATTTGTTATAGATGGATAAGTATTTTGACAATATTTTGGGGTGGAATAGATAGACGGATAAACAGAAAGACAGACAGAGAGACATCAAAATGCGATACAACAACAATACAAGATGTTTTTTTTGAAGAACAATTAATTGAATGAGGATTAATAGTTGACCAACAAATAGATGTGTTGTGTTGACAATAGTAAAACACATGAAAAAATACCGACAAAAATAATTATAATACATGTAATTAGTCGTAAGTGTATGTTACAAACACCGAAATAACACATACAAATGAACAATTATAATTACCGATACGAATAGCAACAGCAATAACAACAACATCATACATTTATTTGTCCATTCAAGGGGACACAATCAAAGGTGATGAATACATAAAACATGGCAAAATAGTAAACATATAATCATGTAGTAATAAAATGTAACATAAAACAAAGATTGAGTTGACATGTTTTTTTAAAAAAATATTTTATGTAGAATGGAGAGATGTGATAGGACAACAAGTTTTATTGACGTGCACAAATCCATTGTGCATGTACATTCATATAATTTTTGTAAAACAAAATTTTGTAATGGCATAAATTGAGGATAGACACGGCAATGAATAAAAGAACAAACAAAAGAAAATATAATTAAAATATCATATTAGAAAATTTATAAAAAAAAATTAGCAGTTAGTTGACAATAAAATGACTTGCTTCGTTAGTTCAATTGAAAAATTGACTTACCTTAACTTGCTTGTTTCAATGCATGTTGAAAGCTTACATTTACACGAAAGTGAATTAAGTCTGATAACCAATGGACAAGTTATTTCAATGGACGTAAAATTTTAATGTACAATGACAGAAAAACACATGTATATTTGATGACATGCTTGAACTAAGATAGAGGAAATGACTACCATTACCCAGAAGACATTTTCACACACACGCACACACACATACGCACGTACATTGATAAATAAGTAGTTAAACACAAAAATATCTAAAAAATTACACATTTTCTAATCAGTACTATTAGATAAAAAGAATAAAATGTAACAAACAATAGGAGGAAAGTGTAATTTATTCTAATTCATGATCATTTTCTACTTTCACTTCATTTGATCAGGTATATGTTGTAGAGAGAAAAAACAAACAGACTACTGATTAAGAATACATGCCATGAATGATTACCTAAATTGTACCATACATCCATTTCTCCACTCAATGTACGAACTTCAACAATAGTTTGACCAAGAAAATCATCTGATTCACGTGTGAATTTTTGACGTATTTTTGATTTCAAATCATAATCTTCATCCCTTTTGGTTTTTTTGTCATTTATTTAGTTATGTGATAAATTAAATTTTTTCAATGTTTGTATTATTATTGTATGTTTATCATAGATTGATTGATAAAACAAACATATGAAAATAAGAAAGTTGAAAATTGATGTCAACAAATAAATTAATTAATTTGAAGTTCATTATTTTTCATAAATGAATTGATAGAAGAGTGGAATATCAAACATTTAGAGATTGTGATAAATTAGTGCGTGTTGCAATCTTTTTTTTTTAATATCGATTTTCAAGTTTAGTCAATTTTTTACTACTATGTTATGTGCTTGTTGACTTTTTTGTTTGAACTTACTTTTGAAATGTACAAAAGTCAATTAGAAAAGCCGCATAAATATACTACAAGTACATATATTTTTTCTGAATGAACTGAAAATTCGCAATCAAAATATACTGGTTTACATTGATTTGTATTAGGCTACCATTGTTAATCCAAGCAAAAGCATACCAATTAAATAATAAAAATAAATAAATAGTAATAATATTTTATCTTGTTATTTGTTTAGAACATATCCACTAATAAACTGATAGTATTATCAGTAGTTTTTTTGTTAAAGTTTATCAAATGACTGTAAGTATGGAGACTAATAGTTTGTGTAGGTCGAAAAAGATGAAGTTTTCTCTTCGCAAACAGTATAAAACATCAATTAATTTAAAATGCCGAACATGAAATATAGTGATTTGTATTCCTTAGCAAGGTATTTAATCTAGAAACGATAGTTTCATCGGAGAGGAACATATATTTACCATGTTACAGAGGAAATTACGTTATACGCTTGTTGTTTAATGCTTGAAAACGATATACATGAGACTTGTTCACATCCTATGCTTTTATGTTATGTAACGATGAAGATTTTAATAGATAGCACCTCCTGCAACAAACTTATGGATTATTATTATAATATGTATTCTTATTATATAACTCTTAAGGCACTAGGTTGCCATATATGAAGATCCGATTTATTAAATATTTCCTGTTTGCAAATTAACTACTATTGTATAAATAAATATTCTCGATTTACTTTACAGTCCCCTGCTAATCACAGTCACTAATAGCTTATATATGTCTACTTTTATTGGTGTGATTACTTTGTTTTTATATTAAAATACATAAATTGCTGATATTTAGACTCAAAGGCTGAGCATTGAATGGTGCTAACAAATCAAAAACCAATAGAAACTTAGCTGTTAACTCAAGGTTTTATTGCGTTGGATCAACTCAAACACTAAAACCATAAAGTTAAATAGTGAATAAGAGATAGACCAAATGGGAATAGGGATTTGCTTGATGACTTGTTACATAATATTGCTCAGTGGTCACAAGACATCAGACCACGGATTTTGTTGCGAAAAAAAGTAAAGCAGAATAACTTTGATTTGATGAAAGAAATCACCTAATAAATGAGTAGTTTACTGATGAAATTATATGGATAGAAAAGCTTTAGTTCACATATTGTTTTGATTTATTCAGACAGGCGAATTAAACTTACACTATCGAAGGACAATAAGCTACAGAGTTCTGTTACGGCAAACTCTCTCTCTCTCTCTCTATATATATATATATAATTCGTGAGTATTACACCATAAGAATGCGTAAAACAACCGATCGAAGTTAGTAGTAACATGATAAATGTTTTCATCGAATTCGTATAGTAATTCTGATGATATTGGTTCGTAACTAATTGATTATTTTTTCCAACATTCACTACAGACATTATGATTATTGTCATTAGTAGAGGAGAAAGAGAAGTAGAGGTCGTTATTATTGGTACTTGAATACTACTAATGAAGCAAGCTAACTATATTCATCAACATTTTTATTGACTTCACTGAATTCACTGTGATTTTATTTATAGTTTCAAATCCCAAAAAAATATCTAGATAGATTCACGTTTTTTTCAAACCAGGTAATTTAATTACTACTCAATCAATTCCATTTATTTCACTGAATTTTAATGTTGAATAGATCCATTTGTACAAAATCCTCACAGCTAAATCATGTCGAGTAAGTGTATTGTTTTATTGTTATAATTTATAATGAAGTACTGGTTTTTTTTTCTAGATATTTCGTTCAGTAGTAAGTAAAAAAAGAAATCTGAACATGATTCTCGCCTAATTTGAAGAAAGTAAAATCAGGAAAAAAAATATTCGTCTAATTAATGATTCGTGTGGTTCATCATATAAATTTAGTTTTTTTTTGAAATACTGTTTTTAAGATTTACTGAAACTAGGAAAAATAATTCCCGAATGATTTGTTGATATTTTGAGTGATTGTGGAAAATATGAGAAGGGCATTGTAAATTCATAAACTTTGTTGCATTCAGTGAAAGAAATATCACTTATGTAGCTCAGATGGATGATTGTGATGGAGTTTTATTCTCTGAGCTGGATGTTTTGGTTGTGGAGATTTGATTGTTCTTCTAAACTACATTATCAGCACAAACTTCAAAAGATCAACGAAAGCTCCACTACCGAAACATCCAGCTTAGAGAACGAAACACTACCACATATGTTACTTTATTTCAGTGAATAACTAATGATTTATTCTTAAGTTCTAATAATTGGTATTTGTTAGTAGAGAAATCAATGTTATCCACTATTCTTTATACCAGACAATACTGGAATAATGTGAAAAAATGTCCTGTTCATTTCAACATTTGAAATAAACTAAATATAACAAAAATAAATGGAACAATTCAAGGAATTCGAAAAATGTCAACTTCAGCATAACTCTTATTACAGACTAAATTCACTTTACCATTTAAATTTTATTTTAATTACGAATTCTTTAATATTTAACGATAATATTAGACTAAAATTTACATTGTTTAGACTGGCCGCATACTAAACGACTGAAATGGTCAAAAAAATTTAATTGCTTCCGGTTTTTGTGCAATTTCGACCGAATTCGGATTGCAATAATATCCGAAATGTTCATGTTAATTTCATCCCATTTCCAAATAGTAAACAGATTAAACTATAATTTACTATAAATAATTAATACTAAAAAAATTGCGAAATAATACAGTGTAATAAATATTATTCAAATAAATTTTCTTATAGTCAATTTGAAAATGTCGTAAAATAATCACGTACCATACTCGAATTTTAATTCGATCCGAAGCATTATGACATTCGCTAGAAAAATAAAACAGAACAAACAAATAAGCATGACAATTCCTTAATTAATCAGAACATGAGATCAAGATAACAATGAACACGTTATAAGTGTATTGAAAATCTTTCGAATTAGAATATTTGTTTAGTCACACCATTATGAACAAAGAAATGTGTTATTGCATGTTACATAACGTTGATATAATTTATGGATAAGAAACATTTTTATCTAGTGGGCTTTAGTTATGCAAATGCTAATGATAGTGTTCACTTGCCCGTATTGAATTAGGTGAAATGAGGTGGCAGGGTGTCACCCATCAGTTTAAACCCGAATACTTCAAATATACTATTTCCATGTACTTGATTGATGTTACATTGTAAAAAAAGACTCGGTTATTATGTTATGCTCGGTTTTAGGTATGCTTAAACTATTACAGTTTCAGCTAAGTCGAATAACGAGAACAAAACAATGAACCAGCGTCCAGGTAGGCTACTCTGATCTGATTTTCCCAACTGTACCAGCAAGAAGTCTTGGTATATTGTAGAAAGTGTATTCGACAAACACGCAGCCAGCACACAATGAATCCAAGCACACAAATTGCGTTTATTTATACACCATAGAGACGTCCTTGGGAGAGTCACAACGTAGCACACTAAAATGAAACAGTAACCAATCACAGCCAAGGATTTTCCTGGTGGGAAATGTGATTTCAAGGTCAACTGATCGGTCCATGAAATAAATCCAAAATAAAGATGCTTATCAGGCGCTTTCTGGGGATCTAACATTACCAACAGTATCCGAACAAAAAAAAACTACTTATGATAAAACTCCCAGCAATTTACCTTCGAAAGTTAAGATGACATTTGCAAGGAAAAAAGTAAAATAGGGCAAAGTCATAAGAAGATTAAATGATAACAAAACTAGGGGACTAAAGCCCAAATAAGAAATATAACTAAAATAAGATAGAAAATTAATGGCTAATAGTGTGCATTTTATCTCGCCTGTCAACACTGAATGTACTTGGACTCTATTACTGATCTCTGGGATAGGACAAGCTATGTGTCTTAGATTTTATTGGTAGTTAAAATTCGTTAATACTGAATAGCGTATGGATAAATTGGATTAATTGAAGCAATTCATATTAACTGTACCTACACTGACAAAGACTGATCGAAATTCAGTCTTGTCAATCCACAATACAATAAATCAAACCATCATGAATAATGATGTGAATAAAATAGAATGAATTTTTTTCATAAGAACGTATACATTATAAATGGAAGACAATGAAAAATAGACGAGAACATAATAACTACCAATTTCTGTTTTAAAAAAAGTATATCATATCATAAAAGTATATGATTATTGTGACAGTATTCAGATGGCTGAACAATAAATAAACCATGATACTATTCAAAGGCTTCACTATACTCTAATTGTCCTCCTTACTATGTTTATCAGATTGATTCACCAATACAGTTGAATGATGAATAGGAAATCATCAAATAAGAGAAGAAAATCAATTCATGATCAATTAACAGAATATATATCCAAAGTGTCCATTATGTAGTTTTGACCTTAGAGTTTGAAACTCATTGTATTATTTTAATGTAATGGAAATTATTTTTTTTTTATAACAAAGAATGAATAGTTTGATGGTATTGTGTTCTCTGAACTAGACGGTTGAATCAAATGGATTTTGTTTTGCATTCTGAACAACACTGACAACAAATGCTTAAAAAAATAATTGAGCTACTAGGATTTCTATGGAAGAGATTACCGTCTAGTCCTAGTAAAAAGGAAGTTATTGAAAATAATCAATTAAATTTCAGGCTTACAGTTCAAGTTGTTAGTCTGTCATAGAGAGATTCTAGTAACCGGTTTATCTTCAAAATGTTGTTTAGAAAGTCAAGGAAAGTCTTTGTGAATAAATCTTTTAGCGCAACAAGACAACACAACATCACAAAACAGTTTTATTAGATAAACAACGATTTTTATACAATCGTAATTGACGATTTGCCTTTGAAGATATAATATTTTGAAACAAAATAGCGCACAATTAAATCCATAATAATAATAATAATAATAATAATAATGACGATAATGAGAACAATTACATGAGAACAACACAGATAAACGAACAATATTGTTTTCATCTAGATCGTCATCAGGCCTTAGCCTAATATACATAAATGTTGATATGAAAATGTAAAAACGATCAAAGTAATTTAATATCACTAAAACATGGATTACGTAACCGCCTATAAGTAGTGTTGGTGGTAGGATGAATAAAATATGATAACAAAAGTTTTTATCAACAGTTCAACATTGTCAGTAATAGGTCCAGCTTACGTAATCTATTTCATTACGCTTATTGATTCAAACATTGTCTGATGACGACCTAATTGAAAACAATATTGTTCATTTATCTGTGTTGTTCTAATTATTATTATTATTATCATGATTATTATTATTATTATTATTCACAATTTGAATCGTTAACAATCATACAGTAAAAAAAAAACAATGATAACATATTTTACTTACAAGTAGAATTTTTCATTCCAAACTGGATTAAGTTCTTGTGGAACGGTTTTTGTGCGTTTTTTCACTTTACCAACTTGTACTGTCACGTAAGGATCACTTGTACCAGTTTTATCTTTTCCAATTAGACCTTGAGCACATTTAACTAGATTTTATGTTTTTAGAAATGAAAACAAGAAATACAAACTACAGAGTGTTGGGTAGATGATATTAAATTAAATTAAATTCTGAGTTGTACCAGTTGAATTATGTGAATGAAAACTGATAGAGCAGGGTAAAAATTACTCGACTATATTGTACGTATAATTAAAGATCGTTATAAATTGGTCAGTACAATCTTAGGTAATGACTCAATGTGTATTATGAAATGAATACTAAGGAAAGAAGAATTGTTAGTGAAATATTTTGTGAAGGGCAATAAAATAGGTGTAGATATGAAAAGTCAGGACACCATTTAAAGCCAGAGAGGCTCTGGATAAATGTTTCTTTAGAAGGGTTGCAAATATGCAAATGTTGAGGATAAAAATGGTAATCTAGTATTCCTTGGTTTTTATCAATGATTCAACTGAGGCATTCATTGGACTGATTTATAACACTTTTTTTTCAAATAATCATACAACAATGTACATAATGTTTTTTAAAATAATCAACAATTTGTACTGATAGAAATAAGAACAATTCATAACCGATTATAATTAAATGTTTTGTGAATAAATAAGTATATCCTCCAAAAAAACGATGAAACTGAAATAAAGAAGCTTGTTTAGATTTGTTCTGCAAATATTTAACTGTCATAAACAAATGGTTTTTTTCAATAACATTAAATTTTATTCCCACTCCCATCTGACATTCCTATAGACTTTTGGCTTCACTCTCTCTCTCGCTCTGTCCTGATAAATATGACATTTATATTACAGTTATCATAATAACCGCAAACGTATGTGAATTAGACAATCTACTATTGCTGAAACAGTGGTATTTTACACAAGCTTAAGCTCAAAATATGTCCTTTGTAAATTTGAAAGGTCATTTAAGCAATAGGTAGGATAATTTGCTGACAGATGTCGAATTACAAATATTTTATCAACCAAACGTAAAGCATAATAGGAAACATGCAACAATCGGTTATTCGAGGTAATAATTATAATGAAATAATAATGACAGTAATCACAAAGTAGAGAGAGTATAATATAAGTAAAATCTTGATAAATTAGTTAAAATAATATGACACAATTTATTATATAAATTCACCCTATATTGTCAAGGGAAATTTTACATTGGTTTTTAAGAGAACCAAGAAGCCTGCCCACGTGTTAGCATTTCCACATGAACAATTTGGCTCAATTCCGTGGTGCCGCCACACAGGTACCTGACACCCTGGTGGATCATTCACACCATTTATATACACTACTACATATATAGTGATTACATCCGATTCATGATCGATTCAATCAATATGCACCTCATGGACAGGCCAATTTGACCCATCCCGCTTACGTGACTGTCAAACTCATTATTATTAGCAATGGAGATATGCAATACAGCACCCCAATGGCAATGGCCCTCGGGAATGTTGCGAAACAACCATCAGTATCAATGAAATCGGTCACCCTGCTAACCAAATTTGTATATGGACTGTTAGCAATACTTGCTGAAGCAATGTCAAGCCATCCACTATGTTCACAGCGAACCTCTGGTCTCATAGGAAACCTTCAGCTCTATGTAGCAGTATAGCATATGGTATACACATAGTATGGCAGACGATAGCAAGAGCCGCATCCCAGCTTGATGCGAATTGGCTCACACACTCTTATTACCTTCTGTCTTAAGTCGGGTAATGGTGTTTCGCAATATTGAAATTTTCATTTTTCGACCATATAAGAGACCTGAGTTAGGGGTAGTATCCCTAGTTATGAAAATAACGTAATGAAATTTATATGAATAGAAATATATCTATAATTTCCTTAGTGCAAATTAGAACAATGCATATAAGCTAAGAATATTGATTTCATTAGACTTTGCTAATATGCGTATAACCATAAACACATATCTATCTGTATATTCTGTATTTTAGAGGAAAGCAAGCTGAAGGTCTAACGAATTGAGGAAAATTAATGTGCTAACTTAAAATCAGGGCAAAGATGTACGTGAAAAGAGACTGGGGATGAGAGTCCATTATGTGTGATTTTATTGTATGAGTAGACTCAGTCGTGTGCTTTGGTAAACATAAATTAGGATTTCTAGAGTTGATTATAAAAAATTTACAAATGATACATTTTAAGTATTCATGAAGTTGTAGCCGGTGCAAAAGGTCACTATTCTAACAGGTAACATAGTTTATTGCACGCATATTGTTATAGCAACTGTAGTACAATAATTATGAACTGTTTACTGGAATATTCCATTTTTTAAAAGACAACTCAAATATTTGACAGAAAAATAAATCCAACTAATTGAGTAAGACATCACTGTCATCATCATTATCATTATATCAAAACCAAAAAACTGTTATTCACAGATCTTCAAAATGAATCATACTTTTGTTTGTCAAACTGACATTGTTTGAATCAAGTTGAATATGTAGTTATTATGAGGCTTATATGATCTTTTATATAATACGGTATAAAAGTCAAAACTACGTATGTGTCACAGTAGTCAGACAATATTTAGTTATTTAAGCTGTTATTGGTACAATGTTTCAATGAAGGATTATAAAGTAAAGAAATTTTCTAATTAGTCAATGATTTTGTTGCGTATATTCGATATTAAATAACTCTGTTATCCAATAAACTTGATGATTTTGAGGTTTTTCCCTTGTCAAGTTGTGAACCTGCTTTTCTCGTGAGTTTGAAACTTAGATAAAGCAGTTATTCAACATTTCTGAGCCATAAGTAATAGTTTAGCTAGAGGAGTTCAGTCATGTTAGGAATGAGAAATAATATCCCCAATAGCTCAATAGAGCTAAGTGAATGAAGTTAGACATTGGAATCATTGAGTGCCAGCTTCAGGTTTGTCTGCAGACCAGAGGCCTAATCTTTGATGAGATTGTAGATGCACACTTCTGAAGAATCTTGTAATTGCATAAAACAACTGTTGAGTGTTTTGTGGGTTAGAAAAACCGTTTCACTCAAGTCAATCCTTACTGGAAACACAAAATCTCATTAAATTTTGTTTAATAAGCTCTCTTTCACCTGGAATTCTTCAGTAAGAGAGATGATTTTTCTCAAAAAAACCGAATAGTATTTCATTATTTAGTATCCATTATGTTAAGCATTTTACGTATGAAATATTCGGACTTTTCTTAAACAATTTATTTTATTTTGTAGACAATTGTAAATTCATATGCCATAAATGTACATAATGTATTCACCTTGAAATGTGCCCATTATTTTGAATAATTAATTTAAATGTGTAACTGAAGAAATATTCTTCGCTCACATTATCTATAGTTTTAATAATGATGAGGATTTTTGACACTTAACAAAATTTACAATTTCTTACAGACAAAATTAATCAACAGAATTACTGATTATGCAATACACTTACTAGTTATTGCAATTTTCGCTGACCATTTACTAGTTCCATCTAGGATACTTTGTTCAGCTTGCAATAAATTACGTTCATGTGTTTTACTGTCTACTTTAAATACTAAACCAAGTAAATTGAATAGATCAGGCATTTCGCTTATTCTTTGTGACATTAATGCTTTAATTGCTTGCATAATAGTTTGTGCTTTATCCGCAGCTCCTTGTTTCGCTGATTTTTCCGCAGCACCTAAATCGTGAAAAAACAATCATATTGGATAAATAAACAATAAGTAATAATTCGTATGAAGTATGTTAAGTCATACTTCATAATTAATGATTACTTTTACATACAATTGCAACTGCATAGAATTTCTATCAAACTTTGAGTACAGTTGAAAAAAAAACAAGTTACGGATATTTCATCTGAGAAAAAAAGGCTTTTCTTTCTTACAGGTTCAAATGCCATTTCATAAATTTCGATTTGAACATCAAGGTACTGTGATTATTCACTGAATACAGAATTTATTGTTCAAAGCATAGAATAAGGTCTTGAATCGAATCATATTCACTAACCATACAAATACATGAAATAATTGACTATGAATAAAATTTAAACATTGAGAAAAAAATGTTAACTCACGTTGTAAGCAATCGGAATTTAATAATTCTCGACATTTATCATGACATTTTACACCACACTCGGTACATCGTAGACCTTGTCTTGCTAATCCCCAAAGAAGACCTTCACATTCATAACAATAAGTTGGACTGGTAGCGGTCCATACTTGAAAGTTATGTGGTGTATTACTTGATATTGGATATAGTAGAGCTTGTAAAGTTTTTTTGTATACATGTTGTTTCTAAACAGGAATCAGACACACAAATATATGATGTGCAAAATATAACAAAATTCAATTGAATTTATCAAGTTGTAAAGAAATTAATTTGGTAAAGGAATTCTGTTTAAAGAATTCGCAATTCAAAAGTGTATACTCGTATATATATAAATGTCATCAGCATATTCTTAGTTTGTGGAAAACCTGTATACTTGTTTTTCAGTTAGAGTTATGGAGATTACATTTGAAATCATTACATTTGAAATCATCAATCAATCATTGCTAGACCACTGTTGAAAACCTGGAAGCATTGGACGGTCGTTCCGTTCTGGTATGGGACTCATCAGCAGTGCGCATCCATGACTCCCGCGTCTCTCAGGATTCGAACCCGGGACCTCCGGTCCTGTGCGCGAACGCCTAAATTCTGGACCACTGGGCCGGCATCCAACGGTGTTAATGTCTAACTCTGATTGATCAACGGATTTTGCGTGACCTCACCCATTTACCTTTGATAGTTACTGCCTAGACCCGACAGGGCTGAACTCCACTGGTCACGTCTTCTCACTAGAACTCCGAGAATTTCCTCACGAAGCTAGTCACTAGTGAGCACATATTAAGATATTTTCAATGATTGATTGTAATTTAAAATTTGTAAAAACACTAATCTCCATAACTTCTGCTACGTGCAGGAATCATGGATCTGCACTGCTGATGAGTCCCATACCAAGACGAAACGGCCGTCCACTGTATACTTGTGTCAGAATATGTTATTGTATCTGATACGAGTCGTAAGAGATAGACATATTATTTAGCATGTTAATAAATAAGATACTCTAAGTCTGTATAAATTCTATCTGATCGAATTTGAAAAGAAAAAAACAGTCATTCTACTTGATAAGGTTGGAAATCTTTATCAAAATAATAATCACATTCTTCGCTGATTATTAAACTAAGCCATAAGATAAAACTGTCAGTTAACAACCTTTGTATACAGAAGTTAAACTGTTAGCATACTTATGTGTTCAGTGAATACTTGACATAAAGTAAGCTTCAAGCTGGTAGTCATTGTTGTCAGTAGAGATGATAATGATTACAATGACCATCGTATCAATGAACAAATAATATCCTTGGGGATATCTGCTTATCCATAGCAAGCGAATTCCTTCAAAACTGTGATTTATTGTGACAAATAGAGCATGATCTGCGCTTATTACATTTTAAAAAAATTATATGTAGGAAGAAGCAAAGTTGATCAGGCCAAAAATTCGAAAATATAAATTTTGCATTAAATTAATCTATCATATTTAATGTTCGTTTTTTAATCGCTTTATTTACTTCGATCCTTCTTGAATAACTTCTTCGAACCCTAATCTTCTCCATTAATGCTAATTCTTCTGCTTCCTCTATTACTATGGGATTTGAATTTACAATTTCATCTCTGTGTGTTAATGTGGTATGGTAACCTGAACTTATGTACGTACGTCCCGAGCTCTACGTTATAAGTGACTGACTGCTCCTATCCTCAGCTGGAAATTGGACATCGGAAAAAGAATTCCAGAACGTGTAGATTACAAATTCTTGATAATGGGTAATCAAAAATAGAAGTTATGAAGTAATCAAATTAAAAAAATTAATAGTTCAAACTGCAGAAAATATCAAAATGTTTCCGTTTGGTGTGCAGTGAAATGTATTTACCATTCAAGTTAATAGCTATGAATAGCTACTCATTTAGTTGCTAGTTTCTATCGTCACTTCAACTGAGATTACTCTATGAAGAATACTATCTACAAGTTAAAAACAATCTCCCAAAGGCCACGTCATCTAAAAAGTATCATTCAATGTATCTAATTCAACATACACAACTATGACCTGATAAATTTATGTAGAAGCTGGGAAAGTGATAGGATATTGCGAACATACTCAGACTAAGTTGAAAGCATCTACACTTCAATAGCAACGTGAAATCTATAGATTCAGTCATAAAAGAATTTATAATTAAGTAATATTGAACAATCTCAATAGTCAGTCATTGAAGTAGTCGTTCATGGCTAACTTTTTCCCATATTTTTTTAGTCATTTTCTAACTTTCTCATAATCAGGCTTGAAAACATGTAAAAATTAATCATTTCATATGCATTTCCATGAATCAGTGTTTTCATATACTTCTACATTATTTCACTAAAAACAATATTTCATCATTTGTAAAATTTTATAATGAAGTCCAATATCTGTTACAATGATCAAATGTTTATCAAGTGATATTATTTAATCCATAGAAAGTTTTGCTGAAACACTTGTATAGACAAATACTACTTATCTATAAATTGTTAGTTTTTATTCACCAGTAAATATAGTTGAGAAAAAAACGAAAGAATTAATACAAAGTGGAATGGGTGGAAATTTTATACTCGAATTCGATACGATGAAGTATCTGTCTTTGTTATCTCTCTGCTCCTTTTTTTTCGTGTTAACTTGTTATCAACTTCTTCTAATTCTAACATATTCCTATCATTAAACTATCGATTTTGACATTTTATTTACTGTAACTCGTTACGTAATCTATTTAATTGTTGTTATAGTCTCAAAAATTACTAAGAGATATGTTTAGTATTCTCGTTGATACCCATATGAAATGTTACTGTATAATTAAGTTTCTGGAACATGTAATTCAAAATAGTGTTGTCCGCACTAAAATCTTGCCTAAATTTGCTTTTCTCATCAAGCTGAATGAACACATCAAAATTTCAGTCGATATGTAATTCAAAAGATACTAAATATTCTGATAACAGTTGTACTAAAGTAAATATTAAGTCCTTAACATGTTGATTCGATTTGTTTTAGACAGTAAGAAGCTATTCTTAACAGAGATTATACGATTATTATTTTTTCAGTTAGAGTTATGGAGATCAGTGTTTTTATACATCGAGATCACCAATCAATCATTGTTAGACCACTATTAGAAACCTGGAAGCACTGAAGGACGGGCGTTTCATCCTGGTACGGGACTCATCAGCAGTGCGCATCCACCACTCTTGCTACTAGCAGGATTTGAGTATAGGACCTTCAGGCTTGTACGTGAACGGTTAACCTTTGGATCACTGGGCCGGAATCCAACGGTGCTGATGTCTAACTCTGATCAATCTAGGGATTTTGCGCGAATTCACCCACATAGTTAGTGTTAATTTCTTCCCTGTTGTGAAACACACTTGCTGAAAAACCCATAGGTTTACAATCTTAAAAGTCATTCTGTTATTACTTTTCAATTTAAGGACACAAATAGGACATATCTGGTAGGAATCATGTTCACTCTCTGATAGAATCTAAAGAGAAAACCTGAAAAAATGAACACTATATCTCATTATTTGGTCACCTAGATTATCTTTTGTGAATTTACAGAGTTAAATGTTTTCCTATTCATAATATTACGCATGATTAACTAGTATTTCAACGCATTAGAAAGGATTAATTTTTTCAGGTTTTAGATTGAGAAATATGTTGTTCTCAGTGTATCTAGTTAGAGAAGGCAAAATTAAAAAAACCAAAATAATTATTGACAACTTATACCTAATCTGATTACTTTCAGCTATTTACAGAAAAAAAGTTTAATAAAAAAAGGAGTACTTCCAAAAATAATCACAGTTAAAATAGTTTGTTGTAATTCAGTGAAATGGTATGTAAAGTGTACAAAAAATTGTACAACATAAGGTATCCATAGTGACAATTGCATTTTTTTTTGACTGTTCAAAAAAAAATTCCTACAGATAACAAATGTATGTAACCTAATAACAGAAACAAAAGAAATTAATGTTACTAGCTTATTTTACAGTTGGTTTAAATAACCAGTAAGTATTTTCACTAAATTTCTAACGATCATTTGAGGTGAAAATTTTTGAGCACTGAATAACTAACTGCTCAGACTTAGTTTCACAGTCATTAGTCTACCGAATCCTTCGTTTATTTTGGTCAAGAAATTAGCGAAAAAGGAGGGAAAAATTTTTTTCGAAATAGTTATTTATGTGTATTGGCTGAGATAACTTTGAAAAATCATTAATTTGCCGAATCAATGCCTCATTTTATAAAAGCCATGCTTCTTAGAGTTGAAGTGGATTGAATAGCCTGAACAAGAAACTACACTAGTGTATGATGATACAATAGATTAATTTGAACCACAAATGAAGATGACAACATTCGAGCTTGTGTTCTCAGGGTAAACAGAAATTAGTGATAGGGTAACTCAAGTGATTTTGCCAAGAATCGATTTCTAATCCAATCAATATTTATCTTGTCTATTTAAGTCAGTTTGTGGGTTTTATTTATGCTCGTTCGATATTTTACACTTTTTTTGCCAACAGATTTCTTGTTTCGTTTATTCTCTCTTGAGATTGTGTTGCAAACTATGGTTAATTCGAACCAAATGAATGTATGAATGGGATTCCCAGTGAACATATATAAACATAGATTTGTGTACGCCAGGTCATTCATGCCAGTCAGATAACACTTGCTTGTTTTTATCATAAATAACTAAATATTCACATAGATCACTAATAAAGCTTCAGTCAAGCATAAACTATTTGAAATTAATTTTTTTTTTAAAATGAAGCAATGGATAAAGAAATAAACAAACGATTACAAGGTAGATTTATACATTTTCGATATCATTAAAAAAATGAAAATCAAAAGACAAATAAATAAATGAACAATACAATAACTCCATACCATTTCTTCATCATTTATTGATTGACGAGTGATCAGATTCGCGCTTGCTGTACCCATATTTCGTTTTTGTACAGCCATAGTCTAAAAGATAAAGAAATGTTCAGAAATAAATAAATCAGTAAACAACTAATAATAATAATAATAATAATAATATTGATAACATCAGAGGAATTAAAATGAAGTTAAGGGAAAGATGATGTTGGATGCAAAACTGTACAAATTAGACAATATCATGAATATTAAGACAAATCACGCTCAGCGTTATTCATTAGGGTTTTTCGATCATTTTAAATTTCTTATATTCATTTAACTGATAGAAAAAAAGAGCATGTCATTCACCAGCAAATCAACAACAATAACAACGCCAAGCTATTAATATAAATCTAAATATGTACAGGAAGCAGAATATGGCGTAAATAGGCATGCAATGAAGATGAATGAAATAAACTCAGCAGTAACATACAAATGTATATATATATATATATATATATATATATATATATATATATACGTATAGATACTGACACAAAACACCCATATGATGATGAAATGATTGCGAAAATGTGTCAATAACAGAAGTTCTCGAGTAATTTCTAGAAAAAAAGCTGACAAAACTCGAGAACAAATAGTGAGAAAGAGTTTTCAACTATTTTAAATGTATTTCAACTAAATGCTGGAACAGCATGTGTGCACTTATATGATAAGGGCGGTATTATCTTCCCTACTCCCTAAAAAATGTATCGCAAACTCCAAGCCAAGTACACAAATCTGTATAGTTTACCACCATGTTTGATTGGTTTTCACAATTACTTTGTTTTTCTCTGATAAGTTGATACCATAAATAACTTATACAAGTTATACATAAAAGATATTCCGTAGGTTATAATATTCGTGATAATTTCAATCAACTAATCACACAGTTCTCTTCATCCAATACTATGAATGCTGTTTACAATAAGGGATTCTCAACAGTAACTTTATAATAATACAACAAACTCTTATTAAAAATACATTCAAAATGTAATTATTCATGAGTGAATTTTATTAAACGATTTTATAACCAATCACTATTGGTCCTTTATAACAGTGTGTGAGAACATACAACTTAGTAATCAGATTTATTCTGTGCAAAAAAAATCGAGAACATGAAGCTTAATTATATTAGTTCGATAATTTGAAAAGGGAGGGACAAAGTATTTAACCAACCTACTCTAGATTTCATGTCATTTTAAAATTTATGTTTAACTTGACATTCAGTTTATTTTTTTCACAGTATAATGTGGAAGGCAATATATTCATCACAAATGTAATGTTCCTTCAAAATAAGAAATATTAATAGCTCAAAACAACTTTCACACAAGATCGAAGTTCAAATTTTCAATAAAACCGATTATATCGTATGCAATTGAAATTTAAACAACTGTTACAACCATCATTAAAATATTTTGGATCTACAGGTCAGAGATCATCAAAAATAGTCTAATCTGGCAAAGGACAAACTAGATTCCGATCGAGGAGGGGATTAGAGAAATGTTTATATGGAATACCTTATGGAAACTATTCTATTACATCAAAAGCTAAATTCTAACGTAGAGTCTTCAAGACAAACAGTAAAAGAGTCAGAACAATGAATATATGGCATCAGTAGTCGGTGATAGTCACAAAGACCATAAATAGCGTTTGAACGCACCTCCGGAAAGGAGATCAAAAGAAAGTTTCTTGCAGATCGCTGGTCAGTCGTCTACGACTCATGAGAGATAGTAAGCATTAGTATGTTAACTGATTGGTCTTGATGTAAGAGTCTCGTCTTTATCGTATTTAGTTATGAAGTATGAATACTATCACTGTCAATTTAGTGGTAATCGTATTGTCTTCAATTTCTATTTTTTTTATATATTAAGAATGATTTCTATCAGAATATAATATATACACACACTCTGTTGTATACTATTTTACCAATGAGAGTTAAAAGGTTCTACAAATATAGTGCAGTAAAATGTAATATCTTTTTATGGCATGTTTAATAACCAAGTTAACATTAGCAATATACTCGTAGTGAAGTTTTCGCTTAACTTTTAAACAACATAATGTATCAAGGTAAAAAAATCACCAACAGCTTGCCGATGGCTTCGAATAGGTTACTTAAAGAATAGAACTATATATATATATATATATATATATATATATATATACGAAATAAGTGAATCTTTAGGCAGATCATAATAGCTCTTTAATCATCATTGAATTATACAATTCATTGTCAAACTAAGCAAAATAATCGATAAGTTATTTCCAGTATTCTAATCTACAATATTGTTAAATGGTAATGAGATGAGATAAACATGCATTTATATAATACAATTGAATCAGGAGGAAAATTAAAAAACAAATGACAACAACATTCACTAATTATGAATGATACAATAAACCAATGCTGAATGCAATTAATTTTTGATATTTAAATGAAATCATGATGCATTGTCAAACGCTAGACTTTTGATATGCCTCCGAGTAAGTACATATGTTGTGTTCTCTTTTTTTATTGAGAAATCAGTATAGTAGCGGGGAAAATTAGTTTTGTTTAATTGTTTTGTATAATAATGATACAGTATCAGTTTTCAAATATGAACCAATTTGAATCCGCATTTTTGAAGATTGCAAAAATCACAATGTTATATGAATGCAAAGAAGACTCAAAAGCGGTTATGAGTTGTTGAATACCAAGTGAATGGTCATTTAATTGGAACTTCAACTACTTTAACTATAAGCATTAAGGTAACTCAGCGAGGAAAACTTTTCTTTTTTCGACGATAAAACCTGGTTTTTGATACTGTTGCGAATGCTTTGACTAAATTATTTAATTAGTAGAAATATTCTTTTGAGACAAATAATTGCATTATAAACTAAATTATAATAGCTATGTAATTTATGTTGTTACTGGAGAACAATGAATTCCAATCAGTAAGAATAGTATGCAAAAGAAATATTAGAAATGATAGATATTAACATTAGATTTTCAACAGTTATTTTTTATTATCATGCCGAATTATTATTTATGTGGAATAATGCAAAATGAACACTCTGAATTATGAGCATAAATATTGAGCACAATTAGAAAGGAGATTAAAAGACAATAGTAAACAACACTATACACATATAATAGGTATAATAGTTCGAATTATTTTTAAAAAAAAAGGCTAAAACAATTATATATAATCTTAGAGATGTACAACGTTAAGAAGAACACAAATGGTAATTTCATGCATACAAACATAGCATCCATTATTTTGTACTTGTTTGTGTATAGGGAGTACATTCATTTGTCATTATTATTATTATTATTGTTATTATTATCATTACTATTAATAGCATTACCATTATTATTAGTACGTAGTAGTAGTAGTAGTAGTGGAATGGACACTTACCTGAATGACCTACATGAATGACGTAATCAAACAAGCAGTAGTTATTAGTATGATCAATAAGCGTTAAGAAAGAAAAAAAATATTACATTAAAAGAATAAAAAATGCTGATGAACATTTTATGATCATTTAGACAGTAAGTTGACATTGACGCATTCCCCTAGTTGAATAACATTGAGATGATATTAATAAACGATTGTGGATTGTGATACGGAAAAGTTTATCAATCGAAGAATTGGACAAAGGTAAATGTTAAATTAATTGTAGCATGAAATAATTTTAAAGGTTTCATTCAGCTACTTTTCCACCGGAAATAAGCCAAATTGGAATTTAACGGTGATTTTCACCAAGACTTGATAACAACTGAAAAACGTTTGCAAACAAAGGAACAATAGACCAATGCCTATCTAGTCTTCCTTGCGAACACCTTAGTACACAATATTCTACAAACAGGACAGATTCTAAAATATTCAAGGTATATAAATGAAAGGTTTGATTCATTGATACAGTTATTCTATTAGTTTTGTGCATCACAATCTATTCGGTCAGTTTTCAGTTTTTTGAGTGCAAAAGATCAGTTTGTTCATTTCAGGTAGTCAACAATTTTTCATTTCACTGAGATAGTCGTAACATTTGAAACGGAAGTCATTATTTCGTCAAGTACGATAAGGTTTGTTTATAAATAACAATTAAAATCAATAATTTAGCTTTGATCAGTCACTGAGTACTAATCAGTGTTAATATTTGTCTGATTCTTAGTGTTGGATTAAACTTTATCAGTTGGATTGCAACATGAATTCTGAACATGCAGTCCACCATATATTTCCATGTTTTATAATCTGAAAAAAATAACTGGACATGATATATTCTAATTAGAGAGATTTGATCCACATTCAAGATTACAAATACGCCTTACTGACAAGTGCTAAAAAGCATGAAATTAAGGTGTAAGGCTTTCTAACAATCGGTTCCAACTAAGATGCAATTATAATCCTATGGATTATCACTGAGATTAGATGGAAATTTTTCCTAATCCATCATGGTGTTATACTTTGATAAAAATACTACTAATAATAATAATGGTAAACAAAATATTTTTTATGACTTGGTATAATTTTAGATTTCGATATATTTTGAAAAGTTTTCAAAAGGCGTACACATATAAACACACTTACTAAATCGCTAACTAATGATTTCGGTTTCTTTTTCAAACGAATATCAGGTGCACTGTCAATATTTGTATAGAATGAAGAATGTAGATCATCTGAATTCGGTCTAGAGAAAAAAATATGAAATTAAACAAATGGAAACACTATGATACTTTAATAATGATAATAATAATGATGATAATAATAATAATATTAATAAATGATATATCAATCATAAATATCGAAAAAGCTAATGTGGATACTCAGTTAAAATAAAGGAAAAGAAAGAATAATAAGACGGGTTTTTATTTATTGACATCTTAGAAACACTGTTTACTGTCATATTCAAACATCAGCAATGCAACTCAGCCTGTGAGATATGTGTATAACTTTTTTGAAGTAAATAGACTATTATACATTTTAGCGCATCAATGACGGACGGTGGAAACCTAAGAAATTTAATAATTCTGTTACTTAGATCATTCAATAATAATTATTGACAAACTTGATGTATTTAATTCAATCACCCTAACCTTCTCATTCAATATTTTATTTCTTTTTCATTAACAAAAAAGTTGACGGAAACACTACAGTAAAATAAATAAATCATATTACTAAAATGTTAATTAGTTTGAATAAACTAACACTATAAACGATTTCTCCTAAAGTAAGAATAATAATTAAAAATGTTACATCTCTAATTGTTACATTTTTTAACATATTATACTATGAATTAAAAATAAACGATTATGAATCTGATGTCCCATCATTTTGTTATGACTCGTCGATTGATATGCTTGAAATTATTACAAGTTCACCTTAGTCGGTAAACGAGAGCCAAGACAAATGATCCAATAACCCGATAGACTACTCTGATTCGAGTGTCTCAAGGCCCTACTAAGTAGAGGAAGAAGTCTTGATATGGCGTAGAAAGTGTATTCCACAAGCACCCAGAAAATATGAGGTTGACAAGCAAACAAATCGAGTTCATTTATACATCATAGAAACGCCCTTGGGAGAGCCATAAAAGTAGCATACTAAAACACTATATCAACCAATGACAGTCAAGGATTTTCCTAGTGGGAAATGTAATCTCAAGGTCAGCTGAGCAGCTAATGCGGGGATCTAACGTCCCCAACACATTGAATACCACTTTATTCATGAAACTGAAAGTAGACAATGAATGAAATAATATCAACCATGACAATACTAGTAATAATAATCAATACAAAATTGATTTATACACAGAAGAAGATAAGCTACGTCGTTGGAAAAAAATAGCAAGAAATAAACTTACGAGACAACAGGAAATAAACTTCCTTCCTACAATTCAAATTGAACAGAATGATGAGAAATAAAAAAAGAACAACAATGCGAATTCATTCAAATGTGTAGTTACAATTTACAATGATTATTTTTATAGATATAATAAAAATGCATGTAAATAGTTATGAATAATCAGTATTAGGGAAACTCATCAAGAAATAAGTAAAGTCTTCAGAGCTATCATAGATATTGAAATAACATATAATGGATTGAATAGAAATATTGTTGATAAATCTTTTCTTTCTTCCCTTCTGTTTAGATGTAAACATTAGTCATACTGTTCAAATTGATGGATATATATGGATTGATCACTTTAAAGATTGTCTAGTAACCTCTGAATATTATACTATCATGTACAAATTTATAGTATTATTGAGTTCTTTAAGCCATATGGTTATACTGCAGAACTTACATTGTCATTCTAAACATCATCATCATCATCAGCAGCAGCACTTTCACCATGTAGAAACGATTTTCTTAGTTACTTCACGAGTCAGTTGATTCTGATTGCCATGCTGAGACAGGTTTCTGTCGTAGGTTCTGCTGTTTTCGTTTTTATTCACGTTTAAGCTAATGTTTATATTAAACATATTAGAGGTTAGGTTGATCTGTTAGATTTATGAGTTATTTTCTGGCAAGTTAATGTCACAGTTTATTATCTATGGTATTAAAGACTTTACGTTGATAGTTTGGCTTTTATGAGTACTTATCTCTCGTTCACTCGTCATATTAATTCAAAAATTTAGCCATCTAGTCACAAACTATACAATTTTTCATTTTTCCCATAAAACCATGATATAAATGTTTATAACGACTGACAACCGGTGAGCACAACGAAAGAGAATGGAGCTTCTGAAAATAGTGACTAATAATAATGATAGGTAACTTCTGTAGAATGTTAGTGATTGTTGGTCCAATAAATGAGTATTAAAAATAATTAATTTTTTTTATTTATTGCTATAATTTTTATTGGATTCTAATCATAGGTGTGTTTTGCTAGATTTTCAGTCATATTGAGTTTATTAATCGATCGTTAGTTTAAATAATAACTTACTGAACGTAAGCGACTGCACACTTTGTCAAAGGCATCATACCATCGTTGACGTGAAGTTTTTTCTATAGGCTCCATAACCTTATCATGTTCAATTTCTTCTTTCTTCATAGTCTCATCTTGGTGAACTGAAGTTCTAGAGTGATGATGAGAATAGTCGAAATTATTTTCTGCAATCTGTTTTTCATTAGACCATTCCTCTTCATTATCATCTGTTTCTTGGATATCCAGTGCTTGTAAATTTGGCGTAAATCGATGCCAATCACTGGATGTTCTACGTACCCCTTCACAAGACATTCGTCGTTTTGATAAAAGTTGCATTTCATTAAAATCATTGTTATAACCATTTGAAGATAATTGTAATGATTGAAGAATTTTACCATCTGAACTTCGTCGAGATGTACGATGAATACTTTGTAAAAGGAAATAAAGGTTTAACATTATCATTTGGGGAAATTGAATGATATATTTTGAAAAATATACTAATCTATTACAATACAATAATTATCATAAAATTACAAATAAATATATCTATAAAACAAATGAAGAATAAAATCCTTAAAATTTGAAGAGAGTCAAGTCATTTGGATTTCACCGTTAACCCCTTGGTTGTACCACATAGTTCTACGACTGCACCTTTTCTGCCAGACCTTCTACATATTTTCACTTATTAGCTCTGGTGCTCTTCTTTAATCGTTTGTCTGAGTATTGAATTTCTCTACTCTTGTTCGGCTTTCATTGACTGCAGTTATCTCTTTGTTTTTCCGTTATTATTTCTTGCCCAGACGGCCTTTAGAGACCCGTTAATTATGCTGAGGCTCGTATGGTCTCAGCGCATCCTTGAAAATTGAAGTTATTGCTTTTTTAATGCCCTTTCACTCGCTGATCATGATCGGTTTCTCATCATCCAGTAGATCTAAAACTCAGAACTGATTGATGATGGCTATTTTGAACTAGCTAAACTTGTCGGAATTTTAAAAGTCTGTGATAAAATTTTATAATACCACTTATCCACTGATTTAAAATTTAAAAATCTCCAATCAATCATGATGAATTCAGGATATCAGCTAGCATGTCTTAATCAAAAGCTAAGAAGCACATGTATACGTAATTTGTCTTGTCTCTGAATATACTATTCTTAGGATAGTGATACGTATATATATATATATATATATATATCACTATAGAAGCCATTTGTAAATAGCTATAAGAAAGTTCCACTTGGTTGTAGATCAAACACCATAATTTAGTAATAAATCACTTCAAATAAATTCAAAAACGATAGGACAAAAATGAACACACTAATTTACGACTTACTTATTTTTGGCATTTACTTCATCTTGAGAAGATTGAGTTATAAGCTTTCGAATTTGTCTTTCGTTTTGTTCGTCATATTCTTGTTCAATGGATTCATTATTTTCAGACTCTATAAAGTTTTACGTACGAGACATTTAATAAACATAGGAATAAATATTTATACAGTCATCAATGACTTTGAAACACTTAAAAACAAACTGATAATAATAGTAAAACAAAACCTCTACCGATAAAATCGAGTTACTATTTACTTTTACTATCTGGTGTAATGATCTAATTGTTATTGAAACATGTTTAATAACCACTGAAAATGAAAACTATTTTCTTGTTTGATAATAATATCTATAATATCAGTTATTTACCATGTTTTATGTAGGACTGGAGCTAATATTGTTTAAATCCTTACAACTTTTGGTAATACGATAAATTTAAACACATTGAAAGAAAAAAATTGAAAACTGTTACAAATGACGAAAGGTTCAAATCATCATTTTTCCCATATAAAGGGTATCCTATCAGAGGAGTCAAACACTCTTATACAATGATGTAGTAAGGTTAGATTTGAACTAAGCAATTGCTATTCCTCTTTTAACTAGGAAAATAATCTATATATATAAAATGAATAAAATTCTATAGCATACAACAGTGTGTGCGTGTTTTTGGCAGTAGTTGGATGAAAATAGATAAGGATGATCAAAAACAAATAGTCTTATGGATAAGATAAGCAACGAAGATGATGAATAGAGAACAAGAAATAAAACTAAACGAAGCATACACACAATACATAGTTATTATTGTTGAATAAATTATTTTTCTATTGATCAAAAGGATTAAATATCACATTAAAGGCTACAAATAAAAAACGATATACAATTTTTCTAAAAATAAGTTAACTGGAAAGACAGCTAAACAAGACTCTGTTTAGTTTTATTCTATATTATTTTGACATAGATTTATATTGTATCAATACAAAAATTATTTTTGTATGCGCACTGTTGATGAGTTGCATACTAGGACGAAACAGCCATCCAGTACTGCCAGGTTTTTATTCGTAGCCTAACAATGATCGATTCCTAATTTTAAAGGAAAAAATTATTTTCTTTAGTATTGTTGATTATTAGTCAATGAACTTTTTAATCGATCTATTTCTTCGGTTTTATCCCTTCAACCTATTTTGTTTTAACCAGTGTAAAGTGTATACGAAAACCAAACAGAACTCTGACAGTACATACATCTCAAGCTGTATGATTCCATGTAACGATAAAAAAATGATCATGCTTACAATAATATTCCATAAGACTAATATTTCTGATGTCGCGGAAACACATGCCTTTTATTTAAACAGTTTGAACAACAATTCTTAACTGTTAATTTGAGTGAGTCTTTTGTTTTATTTAAAATTTTAGGTCGGATATGTGCTTTCAAGTTATTTAAGAACCAAACTGATGATAATAATGTTGGCCGATAATGATCACATTATGATTTTGAATTGAGTTTTAATTTCTGACTCATAGAGCCCAAAGTGTCATTTTCATTGTGAGATTTAAAATTGTTGGGAATACTGAGTAGATTTCGCAAACTAAAACTATATATCTGTCAGTGCTTCGTAATTTTCAAACTTTGTTTATGTTATATCAGTAAATGATGAAAATTAATTTCAGTTTCATTATTCTTCAAAAATTCAACTTATATTTCCACTAAATGGGTTTTTCTTCATAATTCAATTATTGCTTAGTTTGTTTTCTTGATTATGTCGCCGCTTATAATTTTGTATACCAATTTAAATCTATCTAGTTTTTGGATGAGTTTTTTCAAATAATAATTTCTAGCCTTATATAACGTTAGAGAATGTTGTTTAAATGAGCCCAAAATGTCAAAAATTGTAACATTTGATTACTAATTTATCAACTGATGGCATTCATTTCTTGTTCATTTGAAATAAGTTAAAAGAAGTCGTAAGAAATTTAGAAGTAGTAGTAACGGTTTTTAATTTCTCGTTATTGAAATTAAGGACTATAGTTGTCTAGTCCATGTTGCTATATGTGCATCATGAGGGGATATAACGTTGTCACAGGTATCGCGATAATTGATTAGTCGTTAGTAGTGCAATCCAGGAAACATGTTTTGTTTCAGTGTATACAACAGCACTGGAATACAGACATATCTAGATGACGAGCCCCAAACAAGACAAAAGGTGAGTGTTTGATTCGAATACCTACAATAAACAACATGGTCCCAGTAATCCTATTCACAAAATAAAAGTTTGTTCGTAGCGAACTATCATAAACATTGTGAAAAACTGATGAAGGCAATGTCATCATGAGTAAAACAGCAGAATGGTTTCTGCCATATCTGTTTTGCTGTCAAGAATAACTCTTCTTGTTTTCTTTTGAGAACTTGTATTGTAATCATAATGTATTTGATATATCTGATCTGTTTAGATCTTCAGTCATTAAACATCAACATACCGCTGAAAAATCTAGCAGAGTAAAAGATTTGTTGATATCTGATAGTTTAATATCAGTTACCGCCTACACCTTTTCAGTCAGAAGTTAAAGTGTAACCAACGAGTATTGATAAAAAGCGCTGTAGAACATAAACTGTCTAATAGAATTGCATTAAAGTGTACTTATTCATCTACTCTACAGCACGTCTAATTTTAGTGACTGTCAAATAACTAACCAGGACTAAAAAAAGTTGTTGAGTTTAATATTGTGACTTGACGAATAGGATTCAAGGATTGGTTAGTAGTTAACATAGTTGAGGCTAGAACAGACATGTATTCAGCAAAGTAATCATGCAATGTCATCATAGCCAGACGAAATAAACAAAATGTGCGATAATATAGTGCCTGTGATTACAGAAAATATTCTCCGAAAGGAAGTAATGAAACTGACGTTCAAGAGCTAAAGGAAGACAGAAAATAAGTACATCTGAGATTTCATACCATGATAACTAAGATCGTCAGTCATTGATTACGTTTATCATGAAGAGCCTAAGCAAGATGTCTACAGTTGTACATATAAATCATATCATATTATATGTTTTTTAAGAAGAGCTTACTTTTACTAATTCTTCTGTGTTCTTTCTTCAACTGTTGTTCTACTTCACTGTCATCATCATCATCATCATCCTGATATTCTACATCATTTAAATCATCAAAGTAACCTGATTGACTTGATCCATTGAATACAGGTGAATAAACTCCAGTAGCTGCAACCATCATCATTTTATCTCGTTTCTTCAAAGCACGTAAAGTTTCTGGATCTGGTAAATCCAATGAGCTGATACCATTCACACCATAATTATTAATATCATCATTGTAATTGTAATGATTTTCATCAAATTGGTGATTATTATCAAAACTAGATTGTTGTTGCAATAAAACACGTTGATCCAAATTATCATCATATAACTCATTCTTATTCACATGATTATTATATTCATTGATAGTCGATCGATAATTATCATCATATTCAAATTCTTTTCTTTGATGATATGATTCATAAGGACTTTGTTCATAACCATACTCTGCATCGTCATAATCATCATCTGTAGTGACATCTTGAGTTTGTTCATGTAACCAATGACGTTGTTGTTGTTGTTGTTGTCGTTGTTGTACTGGTAGATTGTCTTGCTGATACTCACGAGAATTCGCATGAATTTCATTTTCATTTTGTTCTATTCGCTCTTTTGGTTTTAGTAAAGCACTGTCTGAATCAGCTACCAACATAGTATCATGAGAAAATCTTACAGGTTCTTGGACATTGTTCATACTGGTGACATGATTTTGACCATCAGATAATTGATCGGATACTTTTGGTTGTGATCGTTGTTGTTGTTGTTGTTGTTGTACTTGACTGGTAGTTTTTTGATTAACTTGATTAGCTTGAGCTGCAAATTGTTCAGCAGCTTGATTAGCAGCTAATTTTGCAGCATCAGCTGCAGCATTCGCTTGTTTCAAGGCACCTGTGGCAACTGTTTGAGCTTTGGAAGCAGCAGATGTTAAAAAGTTAGAAAATAAACTAGATGCTGAAGGCTTGTTTGTACTTGATGCTTGACTTGATGAATATGATGATGGTTGTGGTTGTACTTTGCTTATTGGTCCAATGAAACCGGATTTTATATTAGATAATAAAGATGGTATAGATGGTGTGGATGTACTGGAATTTTGTAGTTTTGGAATGAATGAATTTATATTTACAGAATAAATAGGTTTTGATGCATTAGTTCCAGCATTAAAATAAGTAGGCATTGCAGAGGAGATAGTATAAGATGGTAATGTTGATGTAGAAGTTAAATCATCATCCATTTTTAACGGTGTCATAGAAGATGCATTTCGTAATGTAACAGATTCATATCCTGGTATAGGTCCTAATCCTGCTCTGATTCTCAATTCTTTCAAATGTTCTTCAGCGCTAAATGTAGATTCATTTACATATTTAAATGGAACATCGTCTGAGTAACGTTTTATTATTTTAGGCGATGAAGGATATGATATATCACTATCATAGGTTAATTTCTGTACATTAACTGCAGTATCATTCACATGTCGATCATTATTCATAGAATATAACGATTCCGATGTTTTGTTTAATTCATTAATTTGAGTTGGTAAATAACTACTACTTGTTACACTAGTTTTGTAAAATAAACCATGATCACCAGAAATTCCAGTTGGTGTAGTTGTGCTAGTGACAGTACCAATGTAAGCATTAGTCGTAGCAGCAATTGTTGTAATAGTAGTGGTAATTTGTGAACCATCATTCATAATAATTGTAGATGATGGTAATTTATCAGTGAAATTTTTAATTGGTAAAAATTTATTATTTAATTCATTGAGAGGAGTAGAGAAATTATAATTATTATTTACATTGGTAACATTAGATAAATTTAATTCGGAAGTAGAAAACTTTGATGATTTCGGTATTAGTGGTGGTGGTGGTGGAATTAACGCGGAAAATTCAGAACTTGACATTAAATACTTTGAAGTATCTTTATAACCACTGTTGCTGCTGCTATTAATATTATTATCATGATTATTTGGCATAATTCTCATTGAACTAGCAGTAGTTTCATGCTTCTTATCAATATGATTTACTATGCTTCTACTTTTCTCATTGGTTTGTTCCATTGTCGTGGTTTGTTTTAATTGTGAAAATGTTGGAAATAATGTATTGTTTGAGAAAAATCGATCCTTCAATAATAATGCATAATAAATAAATCAACAAAATTTATTTGCAAGTTTTTTCAATATATTGATAATATATTACTATTATCAGTATTATTATTCTGCATGAGGAATAATAACTTAATGAGTTTGATTCTACGAGTGTGTAAATGAAAATCACATTGTTTAACCACGAGTTCAAAGTTAAGTCAAGTGTATAAAACACACTTTTGTTTCAATCAGTCATCAACAGCGTAGCTTGTCGAATGGATAAGCATCAACTGCATTGGCTACATCATACACACTGACTTAGCGAGATGAAATGATCATGTATCAGTAACAAAAAAATAACCATTTCCAATAGATGTGTATAGAACAAGTGATTAACTATTAGCTCAGAATCACCTAGATTTTATGCACATAAAAAAACTTTCTGATATTGAAATTAACAACATCAAGATTTACAGTAAAGCGATTGCTTTATCAAATATTGATTTCAAAATTTATTAATAAACTTGCTAATATAACGAAACATGTACAGAATGAAGCCCGTGTATTGTGAATATTATCTTTTAAGACATCATTAACTGGATTTTTCTTTAAAAATTTAATTTCAGTTGATATAGAGAAAAAGTTATCAACATAAGAAAAGAATGGAGTCTGTAAGATAAATTAATCAATATTGGTTTTAATCTCTTGTTCTTTTCACTCATCTGGTGGTGACTATGATGAGCAAAATACTAAATAATATTTGAGAAAAGAGAGTTTGATCATAATTTGAAATGAGCATCACAGTTATTTAGGCATGTTATTTCAATTCTACAAATTATATATTAAGGTGTGCGAATAAAGTTCCTAAATGTCAACATGTTATTATCTCGAACTCTGTAAAGAATAACCAAATCATTAAATCATTCAGTATTTATAGGTGTTGCTCACTATTCCATAAAAAGAGATCAACAGAGAAAGAAAACCAAATTATTCACCTAAGTGATTTATTTATGAATTGTTTTTTCTTCAAAATAAAACAACTCTAACCAAAAGAGTTAGAGATGTATTAAATAATTCCTTTTAAGGTTCAAAAATAATGATTTTATTACTTATTGTAAAAAGAATTAACTATGCTCTAATGTCATATATTGTCCAATTTACTGATAATAATAACACTTCTTTTTCAAATTTAATTGTAATATCTCTGCACTATGATTTTAATTAATATAGATTTGAATATCCCGACCGTAGCTGTTACGTTGTCGTGGTGGCTGGGCTTGCTTATCGTGATAACCCAACCGATCTATAATTGTTAGAACATATGTTCTTCTAGGTCCTGCCGTACAAGATAGGTCGATCAAAGAACGATGAGATTAAAAGCAGTAACTCAAGGTCTGAGGACGAAGTCTTACTGCTGACTGCAGAAGGGGTGTGACAGCAGTAAGGTGGTTCACTCGGACAACCAGCATCTGTAGCGATGCTGCCTTCTCACAACGAAGGAATGGTTAGAAAAGGTTGACTCTAAAAACGTCACACCTCATCTGGCCCTACAGGTTTCCGTCTCCGGCTGTAGGGGCTCTTAAAAAGAACGGAGCCAACAATTTGAATACTGTCCATAAAAAAGCCGTGCGTGACCGGCCTCAAGCAGTTGTCCCTTGGACTTTGCGGTCACGCTCCCAGGTCTCTAAGACCAACGCTAATATTCCTTCCTTTTTAGGTCCCTCAAGAAGCATCCTTCCACGGTGTGGGCAGCCGATAAGTGACATCCGCCCTCATACCCATAGCAGCGCACGAGACAAAATTGACTGAGATTTGAATATGTTGGGCAGCATCTAGGCTAATATAGAAAAAGTCTTACTTACTTTAGCAGCTTCTAAGGAACGTATCACAGGTTTAAAAGCTGATTTTTGATCCCATAAATTTGGAAAATTTACACTTGCACTTGAAGTAGTTGAATAGGTGGTAGTAGTAGGAGTAGGTGTTTGACTTGTCGTTGTAGTTCTAACTACTTTTGGCGCTGATTCTGAAGGAATAATTATTTTTTATAAAGAAATGTACGAAAAAAAGAAAGAAAAGTGAAATATTTAGTAATATGTCCATGTTATGTTTCAAATAAAGAATTATCCATATATATTATATAATGCACGTGGGAAATGAAAAATACTAAATACTTCAGCTAATTTTGAATAAAGAGATTTAATTAACTGATCCTTGCTCAAATTAGTAGAATCTTATCAGAATAAGAAAAGTTATACAAGATACGTTCGACAATACCTATGCGAATTTTGATGCATCTTATGCTACTAATGGTTTACGCTACTTCTTTGTCATAGAAATTAGTGATGGATTTGTTTGTGCCAAACGAATTCAGGGTCTACTGTTGATTACCTTTGAATAAGCTTACATCAAAACACAATGCACAATAGGTCAATTCATTTCGATGAATGACTATTTTGTAACTTGGTCTCATAAAATCAATTACAACACATAAATCAACCAGTACATACAACTCAACCCTACACGGCATAGTTCGTTGGTGATGTCGCTTATTATGTTACAGAATTAAGCTAGTTTAGATTTCATGAAGAGTGCTTTGGTGAAGAGCTTCAGCTAACACGAAAACCATATACTTTTTGTGAAACAAACGGCGAAAACATGGACAAATAAAGTGAGTGTATGCTCTAAATCAGTGTGCTAATTTTTTTGTAAAATGTTCACCAAACTCATCTCCATCAACTACAAATTTATGTATACAAATTTAGTGACAAATTCTATGTATCAGACTTAATAACGGATTACATTAAGTCACCCAAACTAAAATAAATCAAACAAAGTTAAAACCAACACTTTGTTTTTATGAAACAAATGATCTAGTCATCATAATTCACTTTATTTTACCTAGGAATTATATTTCACTTGATGAATATATAATCAACTACTTAATACTGTTTGTTAAGTATCTTGACAATATTGTTCTGATAAATACTTAGCACACTGATCATTTAGTTTTGTTACCAAATCTAAGAAACTGCTTATGTAATAATCCACCGTTTCAGCTGCATCTATCATATGTTTTTATTTATTCAGTAGCTTATATGCCATACATGAATTGACTCAGTATACTCTAAGAGCTCTGGTTTCCATATGGAAAGAAACATCCTACAAGATTTCTAATTTATATGAGGATGGTGTACACTTCAACACTGTAACGTTGCCAACAGAAAACAACAGTCCTGTCAGTTTGTTTACATTTCAAGATACAACTAAATGATAAACTTATCTTTGCTTCTAGAATAGTGAGAAGAACACAGTGAATTAGTACGGTATTTTGTCTATTTAATTCTCACCTTGTTTCTGAGTAATTAAACTCCTGCTGGGATCAGTATTATACGTTACAGTAGAGGCTTGCGTTTCTTGTAGAAAATCAGTATTTGGTTCATATGTAATTTTTTCAACAGTACTAGAAATCGATTTGCTATGGTCAGTAGAATGACGAAAACTATCACGAGCCATAGCTAACCGATTGTTTGAAATAAATGGGGAGGTATCAATAGCAGTGGAGAAAACTGTTGATACTGATGTATCTTGTGGAAGTTTCATTATATTATCTGTTTTAAAATGATCCAGTGTACCATCGGCTGGACTGATATTACTTTGTTTAGACGAAACAGTTGTCTGATTGTGTGAAATATTAGAAGATATCACTGAAGACGTGACTGGGATTGGAGTTACATTCACAAAATGTAAGTCTGCAGGATGTTCACCGGGAGGCAAGTGTTGCGCGACTGCAGCTTCAGCAGATGCACGAAAATCATTTTTGACTGATTCTGGACTGCAAAACGTAGAAAAGCGTTAGACAAAACGTCAAGAGTTCTAAGAGCATTAAAATTAAAAGTTTAAAGTAAGCTGAGTCAATGTATTATACTATTTGTTGATCTAATTCAATACAAAATCATATGTTAGTTAGATTCCATATAATGGCCATTACAAAAAACTAATAGCGTAAAGCGATAAATTAGGGTTAGAAAGAATTTTCACGGTACATTAACTTACTAAACCTAAGATAGTAAATTTTTAAATGACAATAGAAATCCTTAAACATATCCAGTTAGAACTTTTAATGAAGTGAACACAGTCAAGATGATTCTATAGGATTCTATAGAAGTTCTACAAATAAATGCAAATAGAGTAATGTGCACTTTGAATGACCATCCGATAGTTTTATAACCCCTGCGTATTAAATTTAAAAGCATATGTGAATTAGTTGAAGGTGTTATTCTGTATTAATGTAGTAAGATATCAGAGTAGCACATTAATAACAATTTTAATGTTAGTAGAAAAGGCTAGGCTTTAATCATCCGTGATCCGAAAAACAATTTGAGAAAAATATATACTTTCTTATCATTCATCTGTCTCGTGGATTATTCCGTTATGATTATACTTTGCAGTGTATGAACTAATATTTCGAGCCCACTTAACTTGTCTGGACTCCTTCGGTCTGAGTTATTTTCCACACGTCTTTTGACCTTGTCGATTATTCACTTAAAATTTAGGTTGTTTATATTTGAGTGTGTGCACTGCCTTTTTTGATTATCACATATCCAGCTTATTTGTTATGATTAAAAATACTTAGTCATGCTTCATCACTTGGAGTTGGCCCATTCGCCTACTCCACTTCGTCCTCGTATCTGTCTGCACAAACGACTGCATGAAATCAACTGGCCCATTGCACAAACGGTATTTGCGTAAGAATAATATATGGAAACTCGATGAAAGATTTATTTGGTGGAATACTCGATTGTTCGTTCGGATTGAACTCAGACTACTAAAAGTTATTATCATATTGTTATTAACGCTTCGGACTCATCACTTTGGTTATCCAAGGATCTGACTCTCATTTTAACAAATGACAGAAGAGGCATGAATATAAATCAGCCACAAAACTCCGTATATTGCACATAGGCTAACATCGTTTGAGCGACAGTGGCAATAAGAAGCCAAGTACAAATTAACTTAGTTGAATTCATTGCATGCATTGATTTACTCAGACATTAAGATGAGAAGTAGGAAAGCGAAGCGGAGTTAGCACGCTTATCTTCTTGTGACATTAGTCTGTGAAGCAATTCAACGCATTAAAATTATGTAAGAAAGCAACATTTTTAAGGTTAGCATCTACAAAATAGTAATCTATAGTTAGAGATGTTATATAAATTAACTAAAAATAGGTAGTTATTTTTAAAAAATTTTTAGAATATTGCGTAGGTCCTTCCGTTATAAAACTTTGCTTTTTATCGCCTAACTGAATTCCACATGTTTAGATTTTTATTATTATGTTATCATCTTTATTTTACATTCAATGAATTTCCTTTGTCAATTTGCCGAAACAGTAAGGAAGCTTCAGACGAACCATTTTTTAATTCATTCTATGTATTTTATGACAAACTGATGCACGCATACAATTATCATAAGTGACAATCTGCGAATCAGTCTCTACATTGATTGCGCATAATCATGAAACAAAACTAATATGAATTCATCTAATATATACATATAAGTGTATTTACTTACCTAATAACTTTTAAACATACATTAGGACTATACGTTCGTGCTGGAGAGCTTGATCGACTAGAAATTACGATCAAAAATAAGATGAAAAAATTAGGTGTAGACATAATTACATAATATAATACAGAAAACATCAGTATATGTGATTATTATTCACAGAATGGTTTCAGTTAGCATCAGTTTAAAATCTAGGAGGCATTGGACATGCGTTTTTCCCTAGCCTGAAAATGCTCGTTAGTGTGGATACATCACTCTTCCAGGGATCAAAAGCAGAACCTTCATGTATTGCAATAGACCACTAAAACATCTAAACTGTTTGTCAATGTTGCGTTTGAAAATTAAAACAATTCGCCATATAATACAATGACCATCCAACGTTAATGGAGACAATTGTTACACTCTGGACGTGTTTGAACTCAAACAATGACAACTTCGCTTATACTAAGACGAAACCTATGTATATTGCTTCTGGTTTTCAAAAGTACTCTATCCAAAGTCAATTTGTAACGACGATAATCCACAAAGAAAACAATAATTCAACCAAATATAAACATAAACATATTCACAAGAACATGAACTATATCATATCAAACGAAAACTGTTCACCACTACCCTTTAAAATAGATAACCATATGTGTCTTAAATAAATAAGAATGGATGGTATATTTGAATAGAGGATAAACTAAGTCAAGAGAAGCATATGTTATTTTATGATAAAACACTATTTTTCATTCATTTTATCTCAAATTCGATCAGAGTAAATAAAAGGAAAGAGTTTTTGAAAAGAAAAAATCACATCCTCTTTTTCATTAGAAAAATTAGCTTGGCATAATATAGATAAAGCGTTTTGAACAATAAATCAGAGATCTTTCATACATGTATCTCTAAAATCCCTTAAGCTAATATTTTCCTACTAAAAACAGTGCTTAAAGTCTATGAGTGATAAAGCTTAGAAATGGTCCCAATGACCTAGATACATTCATACTTTATTTACTCACGGATTCAAAGTTTTATTCTTGAATTAAATGGTTAATATTTTAATCTTTTTAACGCTAACTCTATCACTTCGAGATTTGTTTTGATAATTTCATCTGTACATATTAATGTAGTGCGGGAACTTCAATCAATATAAAAAGATATGTTAGGTTTTGCGTTATGTATGACTGATTGACAATGTTGTTTTACACATTTTTGAAACCATGAATCGATCAATGTTAGACCACCATTAGAAACCTGGAAGCACTGGACGGCCGTTTCGTCCTGGTATGGAACTCCTTAGCACTGCGCATCTCCGACTCCTGCACCCCGCAGGATTCGAACCCAGGGCCTTCGGTATTGTGCGCGAACGCCTAACCATCGGACCACTAAGCCGGTATCTAACGGTGTTAATGTCTAACATGTTTTAGGTAATATTGTCAGCACTCATATAAATTTATCTGTTGTTGGTTTAAAAAGACAAAAGGTTGTTTTATTCATTCTATTAACTTTGTAGTCAATTGACATATTTCAAACTTATTTAACATTAATATTCAGTTCGGAGAGTTTAATCAACTCATCGATAGTAATTTTGAATTGTTATATTTATCAATTATTTTTATTCCCTATTTGCTATTCTCGCTGTACTTGACTAAATGTGAAAAAGCATATCTTTGTGAACACTGTCATTATTACCTAAAATACATATCAAAAATGGGCGAAGGGATCGCGATGGGATATAGCATCATTTTGTTGTCGGTTGTCGGTTTAAGCCATATCAGCAGATGAACACCGACTGTTTGAGGCCTGCATCATACTTGTAATTAGTGCTTGAGAACGTTGGATGAACTGATGTAAAATCTGTCACAAAGGCACATACAAATTCACTTTTTATCTTCAACTACATATTAAACTAAATGTCATTCCTTAACATCCAATCTTTATTTTGTTACGTCTGTATTCTGTTATATCTGTATTCTCCAAGTTTAAACTGCAGTAGAAAAAAATAAATTGTATTTACTTCACATCTGATTAAGTTCCTCCCTAGTTAAGCTTGTGTAAAATATGGCGACTAGAACAGACACATATTCGGATTATATCTTACGTTAATGACGACCATCTTACTTATAACTAGTTTGCTTTTGAAAGCTTTAATAAAATAACTATTTCTGTCCATTTAACTGAGTTATTAAAGATTAGTGTTATCAAGCCGAAAGTTATACGCTTTATGTACACTAATTTTTGAAATAGTAATATTTACTTGTTACAAAAGGCTATATATGATTAAAGTCTAATCGTGCACTACAATTAATAAGCCAAAACTCAACATCATCTCATTTTTTACAAATTGCACAAAAATACAGATTCAGAACTGTTCTAAAATAAATAAACATTTATATAACAGAACATTCATCAGGGAAAATAAAAGCATTACCTTAGAGCTAATGACAATTTACCAACACTAGGACTTGAAGCTTCCAATTGATAATTTACACCGATTGGAGTATAATTTTGTGTTTGATCAAAACTTAAAATGAAGTAAGAACAGAAAATAATTTATACATGAAGTTAAGCAGATTGGTATAAATCACTATAGGGATTTTGAAACCAAACCATTCTGTATACTTTTCGAGCAGAATTTTGGAGGTTTGTGTTTCTACACATTAGAAATCATCAATCAATCATTGTTAGACCATCATTAGAAACCTGGAAGCACTGGACGGCAGTAACTACCAAAGACAAATGGGTGAGGTCGCGCTGATGAGTCCCATACCAGGACGAAACGGCCGTCCAGTGCTTCCAGGTTTCTAATGGTGGTCTAACATTCTGTATATATTTTGTTACTGTTAAGAATAAACTTAAATAATAGAAATCAAAACTAATAAATACAGTGATGAATATAACTCCAGCTATTTTTTCTCAAAATAAAATTCCTCATGCACTCAATTAATATTTTGACTAAGACATATTTTCTACATGTTGTATCAACAAACAGATCAGAACGAGTATACGGTCAAATTAAAGGTGAAAACAACGGCAGGTTTAAGTTCAACAGCAACCAGTCAAGATCGAGGTTAGCAGAACAAGCTACAGGTCAAATGTGGAGAAATTCGAATACTTCACTTCCATCTGAAGTTTCTGCTAATGATGTTGTTCAGACGGACAATGAAAGTTCCACATCCAAAACATCCAGCTCAGAGATTGAGACACCACCACAATCATCCACCTGAGTTACAAATTTTCTCCACCAACTCTTAAACAGAATTAAAGATTTTAGCAAACAAAAATTTATGATCAATTGACTTTGTTCATTGTGTAGATTCTTTTAAAAATCAACTTCAAATATCTGACACTAATTATTTTGTTAAACAATGAAAACAATCAAATGTAATTTTGAAGCATTCATTATAAACTATTCCTTTTTTCGAAATCATACAGTTGATAAATAATTTGTAGTTAAGAATTCGACAGAGTTAAAAAATTCATCACGACAGTTTTTTTTGAAAGCGATGAGAAACTAAACAAAATTCATGTTTTCTTTCCAGAAAATAACTGAAATCTTCAATGAATTCGATAATAGATAATTAACTTGGATATTATTTTGCAATTTCAATATTAAAGATTCCCATTGTAAAAATTAGAACAACACAACATATAAGAGAACAATGTTGTTTTCGATTATATCATAAATATTTCTGTATACTGAAGTGAAGCCTGATGACGATCTAATCGAAAACAATATTGTTCACTTATAAGTGTTGTTCTAATTTTAATATTCTTCACATTATACGTAGATAGGTATTTTCTTCATGTGAAAAGAAAAATACACTTATATTAACAATTCATATAATGGATCAATCTAACAAATGACTTCTTATCAAATACAGACTCTTTTCCTTCTTTTTAAACTAATGCTGATGATGATGATGATAATCGTTGTAAAATGACAACGTAAACATACCAAATAATTTTTGTATCCACTTCATAATCTGATTCACATGAACAACAACCATAATTTGAGCTAAATACGACAAGACGGAAGAGAAAATAAACAACAATGGAATTCAATAATGAAAATAAAATTAGCATAAAAATTGAAGTAATCTGGTTTTTTTTTTAAATGAATAAATAGTCCATTTGACGATGTAATAAAATTAATCGTAGAAAGAAATGAATTGAATGAAAAAAATACCTATTGAGAATTAAAACTATAGGAAAGAAGATATGGGATAATTCTATTTCAATAGTTTAATAGTTATATTCTGTATTGAGAAGAATTTTTATTTAACAATAATAACAATAAAAGGTCAAATAATCATCATCATCTAACTTTTATTATTTTAATGTAATAATTAAAGTAAGGTCAAATGATACTTCGTTTTTTTTCTTTTCTCTCTCTCTCTCTGCAAAAATGAAGGAAGCAATAAGAAAAAACTATTTGGATTTGGCAATAACTAGCCAATCGTCAAAATGTCTTTCTTTGCTTTTTTTTTATAGGATCAATAAACTTACAGATAACATTTACTTTTTCAAATTACAATCACTATTAGATTAGATGACTAACTAACAGAATTATTGAGATGATTAAAACAATCTACTTGATAGCCCATTGTAGAACTGATTGAACATATGAGTAAAAATTCATAAGAAATTATTAGCAATGAACTAGTCAACCAAAGATAACAAATATTATGAAACCTTCAGCTTCATCTACTGTATCGTTTTATTTATTCAAAACTAGTATTTCGTTGATATGTTGTTTCTTGTATTGATAGAAACACGGAGCAGTCAGCCAGTAAACAACAACATAGAACTGCGTCAGTGCGTACATCACTTCAGGTTGCCATACTACATTAGCACAGAGATGCACTTATCACTTCGAATCCCATAGTAGTAGAGGTAGTAGAAGTATTAGCATTAATCGGAGAGATTATGGTTCGAAGATATTATTCAAGAAGTAGAAACTAGTGAAATAAACTTAAAAAGAAAAAGGCAAAGGTGATGAGGAATCCAAAAGTTTAGGATTTGACAGAACACAAAGAATGAATGCACCTGCGCCATCGCAAGCGGTTTTAAGTCATGTCATTGAAGGTCTCTAACTATGAATGGTTTTTACAGAGTATGGACTTGAAAAATTTCAACACTTTAGATTATTTTTACGTTGACATTACTAAACACACACACGCAAACAACAATCATACACCGAAAAGCATTTATTTTTTCAACGTTGAAATATCAATGTTCATTTTCAATAGAACTGAACCACATGTATTGTATGCCAATTGTAAGCATATAAATTGAAATGGGAAGAATTAAAGTATTTAAAAATTCCGCTAGTTAAACAACTATTAACATAATTAATTTTGCTGAAACCAAGAAATAAACTGGAAACTATGCATGAGGATCAATTTTTAAGACTTTATCATTCCGACTAATTAAATATAATTAAATTATCTGAGATAATTATTGGTTAAACTGATTTCGTAATACGGAAAGGAAAATACGAATCATTGGTTGGTTGCAATCAGATCTTCAGGTCGTAGGCTTTTGCTTAGACGGAATCAAAACTTTTCACTTATTAGTCTAAGTGCTTCTAGTTTAGTTGTTGTGTTTTACCATATTTTACACACAAGTCAATTAGTAGTCTTACATTGCTGAGCTATTTGGGATATAGGCGAACTAAATAACAAAAAGACGAAAACCTTTATGTTGTCATACGGGTTGCGCGCGTAAATATATCAACATTCATGTCATTATCAATGACAACTCAAAACAAATTCTCGATTCTCATACCATCCGTTAGAAAGTTATTACAATTTATATGAACTACACTAAAATAACAGCCTATCATGTCAGTCAAGCTATTAAACGAGGTAACATTGTCATCAAGAGCTAATTATCAGAGTAATAAGAGAATTATTGATTTGTGATAGTGAACAAGTACATTGAAACATTCAATGTACAAGTTATTTAACTAAATTTATTAAGATTTATTGCAAATTATTACATATGCAAAAAAATATTGAGTGTACAAAAAAAATTTTAACGTGTAAACAATATTACAAACAACTACTATAAATGATACCAGTAATATAAGATTAGAATAAGTTTGTAGTACCAAATGAACTCAATCTATATCTCAGTAGAATTTTTATTAATTTTAAAAAGATGAAATCAATTGTAGTGGAAGAAAGAATGGATACGAAAAAAAAACTCGTTTCCTTTCAAATTTCTAAGAATAAAATACAATTACACTATATAATTAGAAAAAATATATAGAAATCTAATAAAAAGACAAAATTCACGTGATAAATTGAGCAGGAAAAAATATACGTTAAGTTGATCAACAAACTGTTTAAGAGAAACAGTAATTCTCATTAAAATGAATGGAAAAAAATAGAGAGATTTGGAAACAAATTTGGCGATACAAATTAGACAGTTGTCATATGGATTACTTACATTGATCCGATAACATACATAGTTGCATTTGTGTCCTGGAATTATTAGCAGCAGTAACAAGAACAACAATAACAACAACCAGAAACAAGCAATAGGTATCTGCTGTCAGAACCTTAATAAACATTCTCAGTGAATTGTATATAATGATTAGAGAATGAATAAAAATTAAGAATAAAAATAACAAAAACATAAAACATGTCATCATTTCAGCTGAAAATAAATAATACAATTAAGATTTTAAAAGGTAATTCAACAACATCTGGAACTTGAAACAACTATCAGCTAAAAACAAAGTCAGAATTTCCAATACAAATGTCAAAACAATTCTATTGTATAGGGTGAGAATTGGAGAACTACGAAAGCCAACTACGCAAAATACTGAGGAACCGTTGGTCAGACACGATCAGCAACAAACCAGATTCCAGTGGAGGAGGAAATCAGGAAGAAGAGCTGAAAGCCGATAGGACACACACTGAGGAAAGCACCTAACTGCGTCACAAGACAGGCCTTCATTTAGAACCCTCAAGGTAAAATAAAAAGAGGGAGGCTGAGGAACACATTACGCCGAGAAATGAAGCTAGACATGAGGAGAGTGAACAACAGTTGGATAGAACTAGAAAAGGAGGCCGAGGACAGATTAGGTTGGAGAAAATTGGTCGGCGGCCTATGCTCCATTAGGGGTGACAGGCATAAGTAAGTAAGTAAGTAAGTAAGTCAGTCAGTCAGTCAGTAAGTGAATTCAAAAGCCTTTCAATCAACACACAAAGATTTATATAACGTATTGCTTGTTTGAAGCGTTCATTGCAGTTATGCATGACCATTATACCGTTCAAACTATCATTCTTAAAAATTTATTTGTAAATTTATATTTTGGCTTTCAAAAAGTATATGTTAGTCATATAGTAATCGAAATAATTTATATCATTGTTGAAAAATTCTCCTCATAAAAAAAGCAGAGCTTTCTCTTTGAAACATTAGATCATTTAAAAAAAAAAAGGTTATGCCAAATTGATCATTTCCTGTTCAAATTTGATCACTTATTTCCATAATTTCGATTAAATGAAAAGTAACAACTGCTAATTCTGAAACTCCTAATTACAATTCTTTTTGAGGTCATGGGTGAGCCTTGTTAAACAATTATAAGCTTGAACCATTTTCCACTAGTTGTCTAAATGATGTCAAATGCTGAAAAGAATGGTTTTCAACATCGAGTGAAATATACTACGAAACTGGAACATTTTAACTATTTCAAATGTGACTAAGAAATGAGTGCGCGGCTTTCCACTCTTATCCATAAACCCATCTATCTACTTAAAAATTTCATCAGAAGTTTGAGTTATTCAAATTTTGTTACATGCTCAATTCGGAATCACATTTTATTTTTCAGATCATCAGAACAGTGTTTGAGAACATGCAGCTCCGAGTAGATGTATTCAAGTAATTTGGCGCACGAATAAAAGTACACACCAGTACACCATTAACAAACTGTGCATTTTAATTTTGATACCTTTTACATTTAATCAATATTAAGTGCTGCCATTTAATAAAAGTTTATGGTAAAGATTATATCATTAAACATTTTTGACAGTAAAATACAATCATTTATGCTTACGGCATATTATATTTTGCAGGCGTATATTTATCGCAACAAACGTCAGAAGGTGAAATTCCATATGTGGGTTGAGGATACGGAAAACGAGGATAACCTCTTCTATAATATCGAACATTCTGAGGACTGAAACGCGATCGTCGACGACGTTGACCAGATCTACAAGAAATAAGTCACTAGATAAATATTTGGGAAAAATCCAACAGAGTTAATCTAAAACAATCAGACTTTGAAAGTTAAATATACACAGGTTTTAGATCTGAATTAGGAATTCCTTGAATGAAAATGGAAAAATGTTTGAAATGCATTTCTCTCCGTGCAAATAAAACAATGGTAGAGCGAAATAAGTTTGCGTAAGAACCTAAACTTAGCTTAGGGAGTAGTGTAGTTAAACACATTGACCATATTACTTATCTTGTAAGTCCCACCAACCTTTCTAGATAGATACCCGACAAAATCTGGAAATGAGTTCGAGGGACTCGTTCATTTGTGGCATCTGCTTGTAAAGATAAGGTTATACCGACGCAGTTTATCAAATATAACGTTATCGCTGTGTATTATACCCTATTAAGATTGAAGATTTGGACAGATTACAAGTATTTCATGATCTGCGTCTTAAGACTTTAGTGAAACACCAAATATGCAATGCTGAAGTGCTTAACATATTATTGTTAGGTCATTGAGTAGTGTTTTGAACTCGAATCTACTGCTCTACTGAGTTATATTTGAAAATGTTTAGGTTAAATTAAATTTTAAAAATCTTTGTTTGACAATCTTAAGTGATTTAAATAGAAATTATTAGAAATGGGCCAAATCTGTTGATCTTATATCTTCTAAGTACTCCTTTTTTAGAGTTATGTTTATTGTTGTGCGGAATAATTAACAAAATATGCAACAATGCATGAATACTGAGTGATAAAAACAACCTCGAAAACATTTGAGAAAAAGAGTACATCCATGTAGATTTCTGTAGACTATTATATTTTATTTTGTCACAACAATCTCAGGAAAGCTAATCATGCTCGTCAGTTGTTTAAGAAAAAGTGGATAAAAGAAATGTTAAAAAGGTTTGTCACAAGAATGTTTGCTTTTATTATTAAATCATAATTATGTAAAATTTTGCTAATTAAAATGAAACATAGTGGATACATTTACCTTATTTGATATTCATCTGCCCATGGTAGATAATCACCTCCATGACGATAGTTAACATAATCAGGATTCCAATCAGCTTCATCAACATCTGAAAACGGTCCAAAATCAGAATAAACTGGACTCTGTTCATCCATTGACGGTTGAGGGTATAAATATTCTTCATCATCTGAACGACCAGAATAACGATATCTGGGTATGTTTGTGATGTATTGTTGTTGATTATGAAGATTTTCATAATTACTAAAGAAATATTTTTTAATAGGTCAAAGGTAAAGAAATATATATTATCAAGAAAACACACTGACAAAAGGCTAAATTTCAGAAAAACTGTCTATCAATGGAAAAAAACTTGACAATATAAAGAGTTTAATTAAGTGTATTTCTTTTGAATAGGGAATCAGCTCAAAAACGTTCGGATTTTATAACAGGAGTAATAACCATTAGTCACTGATGAATACTATAATTCAGCGAACAATCAGTCAGCTAATACGATATTGTTATTAAGAATTCATACCATATAGTATGAATAGAATTTTGTACAAACAAGATAGTCTTTGCAATTTAAATCGAAATAAACTGACTTCATTGGCTCATCAAATCAGGAACTAGATATTTTATATGGTGTATAAACTTTGAAACAGATTTAGACCAGACCAGTACATTGCAAACTTAGTAAAGGCTGTACCATAATGAATTCAGAGTATTAGATTTAAACATAAATATACAAGCACATATATATAAAGCCTGAATTTTATACGCTGTATCTTTTTTCTGTTCATGTTAACTAATAATTAATGTAATTTGTTAAAATTAATTCCTTTTCGTCACAAATATTTCCAATAATAATATAAATAACAAAAATTCAATGAATAGTAAATCTATAAGAAATCAAAAGAAATCATTCGTAATTTCTTTTCAAAAAGAAGGAGATAAAGAAACAGTCAAAAATAAACAAATAAAATAGTTTCATGATTCATTTAATTTCCGGAGTTGTTTAAAATGGGTGGAAGAAAACAGGAACGAAAAATAGTTAATTCATATATATCGGTTGGTCGAATATTCCTATTGAATTTACGAACTACAACTGATTGAACGATACTAGGTTCAACTCCCTGTTCAAACATCAACCCTAAGATGGTAGATCCAGCTGACAAGTTCCAAGTTAGACGAAATGTGCATTCTAGTTTCCTCTGTAAATCACTATCTATCTCTGCCTGAGGAAAGGTTTGTGAAGTTCGATTAGTTTGTTGGATTGTACTTTTTAGTTTAATGATCTATGGGGATGATTAGTATAGTTTATCAGTAGAAGTATATTCAAGTGGACATAACAGTTTAGTGATAGTTTTGAATTTCTTCGTTCCTGAGATATTTACACGTTTGTGACTATTTTAACTAAATAGTGTTTAAATGTTTTATTTACCAACGAACCAGGTTCTTAGAGAAAGAAAATCACTTTCAGTTGACAGAAGATTTTTTATCAACATAAATTTTCAAAGGGTTGAATTTGCAAAGGTCGAATTGACCAAAGGTAATGACAGGAATTTATGTATTCACTTTGTTGAATAATAGATCTAAATCACTCATCCTCTTTTGATAAAATGGGGATGAATTTAGCTTAACAATCAGGTGAGTGACCTACAAAATTCATGCACAAAAAAATCGCTTATAACATTTAATCAACACTTATCCTATAATAAACTGTATGCAGTACAGTTGCTTTAGTTAAAAAAATTCTATTCTACTGAGAACTGATCTTGTCTTCTATCTCCAAATAACTCAAGGGCTCATGTCAGTTATTCTATCTGGCTACGCTAGATTGTATTAGTATCACGGTAGTCTGTTCATTTACTTTAACGAACCTGAAAACTGAACTGTTGATCATTGAGAATCTTCGAATACCTCTTTCATTACAAACTTTAACACAATCGACTGATCATGAATAAATGAATGAAACCTTCAAGCTTTTAAGTTGAACCATTGAGTTGACAGAGATATTTAAATTACTTTTACATAACTCAATGTGCATAAATTTTAATTGTAAAATGTTATCATTCAACTTTCTCCATGAGGTTCTCACTGAAGTAGGTGAAAAAGACAAAAAACACCCTAATATTTGAATACAAACAAGCATCTTAGCATTAGTTTTTATTAATTTCTACACTGAATTCTCTTTATTTTTAGTGTTAAAGATTACTATGGTTTAGAGATCACAACTTGATTGGCTAAAATGCAATAAAATAATCAGTAAGACAAAAACTAAACATTTGTATGTAATATTTGTAAATCAGGAGTATTAGTGACTTAATTAATAAACTGTTCTTAGATCGCCTTAAATGGGTAGGAAATAGCCAACAGCTAAGTCACTGTGATCCAGTTAAACAATGTCTTCATTTTATATACAAATAAATTCTTCATTATTCTGTAAATTTTATCTATTAATTTTCTAAATATAATCAAAGTTTGTATACCGTATGACAGTATTTAAATTTCATTGTCTAAAAAACAGAACAAATGACGAAGCATCAAAGAAAAAGGAGCATTTCGCCTACACTTGATAGATCCAAAAATAATTTCATATCTAATTTAGTTTTCTTTATTTTATCTCTACTTACTTCTATCGCATGCATACACCACTATCTTTCATTCTACTCTGTCGATCCATTTACCTCTGCATATATATATATATATATATATATATATATATATACATCATTGTTTTTTTGCTCTTCTAGTTCCTATTTATTTTATTCATCATTATTTTGTTCCTTCTGTTAATTTTTTTTTTTAATTTTTTTTTCCACTTGCCTAATTATTCGATTTATTTAAGGTTGTTTCCTTTTTTAGAAAAATTCTTGATACCACTTAAAGATTAGGCATTCAGAAATCAATACCTGTCGTATGTGTTGGACAGCTCGTATATATGTATATATAAATACATATTATGGGTAACAAATTTTATTTTTTTTTAAAAAGTGGAAACAAATTCCAACATAATGAAAGCGTTGAAACTAGTATAAACTGTATGTGTTTATAAAATTTACATACAAACAATTTGGAATGGTTGAATGGGTAAAAAAAATAACTTTTTGGTTATGGTAATATTAGGAGAAAAATTGATGAGTTAATTAAGTGAGCAATTAAGGTTTTTGGAGGAAAAAAAACAATAGTTGGAGGCAACGAGAACAGATGGTAACTTTAAGCATTTTAATAGGTAGTCTTATTATTTTTAGTAGCGATATGTGTAATCAGTTGAGGCGTAAAAAAGGAATACTAAAAACGACACGAACAAAAAAGATAAACTAAATGAAGTGATGTGTAAATATTCAGCTGAAAAAAACCATTGAAATAGTGTATTGCACTAGATAAGTATTATTCTCTATTCATCTGATCACCAAATGAACAACAGAAGAGTAGAATGGCGACAAGTTCTAACGTATTATTTTCATCGTGATTATGTATGGAACATATTACTAGAGATGTACATAAAGACATAATGATTTAGGCAGTTTAAAGTAGCGTAAACAAATTGGAAAAACTCCTAGTTAAGCATAGTACATATGCACATCATTATAAGAAAGAGTTTGTATTATCCCGTTATTAGTAATGTTGACTGGATTTTGATCGGTCTTAATTGGTCCATGGAAATCTTGTACGGATCATCACAATATCACAATTTATGGCATAAATGGATAATGGTTGGCAGTGAAATCCAGGAAGAAACATGTATCCTGGATTTCACTGCCAACTGCAATCCATCTATTCGATAATTGATATAATTAAAGATTGACAATCATAGCATAAAACTACCCTTAATCTCATTTGATTATGGATTTCAAATATTTGATTATCATGATTTATTTATTGGCTGTTAATTTTTATTTATTTATTAATAGTTTAATTGACGATTCCGCATAAAAACCCTATATTCCCTATAACAAGAAATCAATTTTCTCTATGAAAAAAATACTATTATTTAATATGACAATATTTGGTTTGAATGCTTACCTGCTGAACATATATTCTTCTTCCGGATGACTACGTTCTGATGGTGGTGTTTCATCAAGCCTGCAAATAAAGAAAATAATCAATAATAAAGGAAGTAAATGTCTATTTCGATTATAATCAGCTATAGTAGAAGTAGTGACAGTATAGACTTATCTGCTCAGTGGTTAAACTTATTTATTAGGGATATGCAAGAAGAAATATTGCATTTACTCAGATAGATAGGCATGCTCAATCAGTAAGTCAATCACGAAGTAGAACCTGACACAAATGCACATCAATTCAAGTTGCCATACCTCAATATTACAACAGGATGAAAGGGTCAAAACAAATCCCAGAGTAGTACAGGAAGTAACGGTATTTAGTAGCAGTAGGAAAGATTGGGCATTAGAAATACGATTCAAGAAGAGACTACAGAATACTTGAATAGAAAGGACTATATAGTTACTTAGAAAGTTAATCTCTAAGAAAAAATACAGAGTGAAAGAACATGTACCATTGAGATCGATTCTGAGTCTGTAATCTTTGACTACGACAGTTTAGCGGACCCCGAATAGGTAGTCTGCACCTAAGCACAAAACTCAGTCCAACAACTAGAGTAAAAATGAAACGATGCCATATATTGAATGACAGTCCTTAGCTTACTTCCAACCTACTCCCACACTAACCTGTAACGCACGGCCTTTCTGTAGGAAGTCGATGGTTTGTTGCCCTTTTGTTTCGAAATCTTTAACTGACAGGGGCGAAAATACGTGAGGTAACTAGAGGTACGAAATTGTTAGTCCCGACTTTTTCTACCCTCTACCCTCTATTATGAGGAACAAAAACGCTACAGATTCTGGTTGCCTGCGGGGAAATACCTTATCGCCATCGCACCACCATGTAGTCAAAAGTAGGACTTCGCCTTCACATTATGGGTTTGCCAGCCTTCCTCGGCAGACCTGCTTGGCATAGTTGAACGAAAAATAACGGGAGTTTCAGTCAGCCGAGTTTGACCAAATGATTATGACATGCGAGCCCGACTATCACGTCAAGGTGTTAGCTACGGTGAAGGTAAGTATACTAGGGTAACTTTGACTTCAATAAACTATGAGACATGTTAGTTACCGATGGAACATTTATCAGCTAATTAAATTTCAGAAATATTTCACTAGTTCTGCCGATTTTTACTACAATTAGATTATTTAAGAAAATTTAAGGATTGTTATTATTCGTTCATACGATTAAAGGAAAATTCTGTAAAGACCATCTTTAAAACTACATAATAATCCCCATCGTCAAGTTTGAAACTATCAATTGCGTTTTTTAAACACAGAAATATTTCTCTGGAAGGTGATCAATCATTTGACTATTTTGAAAAAAGAAAACATTAAAATACAAGTATCAACCAGATCAAAACAAGTACAAATTTCCATTCTTGAAATATCCCCAGAGAGTATAAAGATTATCCTAATCTTAGAATTCTAGATAGCTGAGACTCATCTGAGAGAGCTTTTTAACAGTCTTAAAAAAAAACTTTTGAACAAAACATTGTAACTCACCAGTCAATACGGTATCCATCTGAATCGGAATTATGTGAATATTGCTGTTGATAATTCTGATCAAAATATTCCTGTTCCGATTTGGAATTATCATTTTCTGAATATTGACTATACCATTGTTCATTATCATCAATATTATTTACATGACGTGAATCATAACAAATTTGTTCATCATCCCATTCATAATCACCAGTATATTGACGATAAGAATATGGTCTACTTCTGTGTGATGTGATATATGGTCGACTATTATAATATAATGGTTCTGAACCAGAATCGAATTCATTGTCACATGGTACTTGTTCATATTGATCATAATGTCGAGATGAGGCATAATGATGACGATCTTTTAAAGTTTCTGATGAACGAGCGTCTGAATCGTCAGTTATATACTGCTTATGCCTTAATGGCGGTTCTATAAAGAATGGAATTTTAAAAAAGGCATTTGAATGTACCTCTATTTACGCGATCAACCCCCTAATCCATTTACCAAATTGTACAAATAGAAAAACATAAAAACTCACAAAAAAAAATTGAATAGAACCTAAACAAGGTTATGTCTTTGATACAAAAACCTCAAACAATGATTGATAAAGATCTTTGCTGTTGAACTAATTCATTATAATCTGATTTGATATATTTTTCCTAAGAACGTACAAAAATCACTTGTATCGTATACGGATAAGAGATATTTGTATAGTTTACACGTAATATTACATCATATGAAGATTAAACATATCTACGTATACAAAACTATTCATCAGATATCATATGAACACAAATAATAACTTTGGCAGTTGACTATTACTATTCTAAAGAAAAAATATCAACTCAGAGTACTAAATCACAGTTACCGGTGATAAAATTGGTAAACTAAAATAATTTCGACAATGTTCACATAAGATATCGTTCTAGTAAAACAAAAGTGTGAAATGTAACAATATACAAGTTGACTATTTAATTTTCGAATAAAGCTAAAACACGCATAAAAGCAGAATTATATGAATCAATTATATTTCGTCGATTCTTGTTAACTAGTTAAAACAACTTTTCGAAATATCTAAATTCTCTCCGCACTTTGTTTCAGTATTCATTTGAAACATTGCTCTGCAATAAAAAACTCACAGTGCATAAGATTGAAAAAGCATGTAAAATATCTTGACAATTATCAGTGAAATCCAGTAATTAATCAACATTCTCATTATTATTTTAAACAAATTTCCTTATCACTACCCCATATCAAATAGAGAAACATTGAAAACCAGAGAGCAGTGTATTTATAGCAACTTACCTACAACTGAGTCAGTATACAGGTAGTTGGATAAACCTTTTAATTGACTTATTTAACAGACACAGATATTGGATTGGCAATAATGTGCCCATATCTCTGAGTTATTATTATTATTATTATTATCATATTTGATGAACATGTATATTTGACTACGTATTACAGCCTACACATATTCCTCTTACTAGCTTGAATATTAGTTGGTTAGATAATTGGATGTATCGTTCGCTCCTTAAATACAATTCGTTCGTTGTTCATAATGGCTTGCATTCGTTCTTTCGTCTTCTGTTTGTGTGGTAGTAGCTTTGTGGTCTGCACCATACATCAACAAACTATAGTTAACGCTTAAGATTGTTTTCTGAAATGTATGCATCAATGAGAATCATCTAATAACGGTTATCAAGACGAGTAATATACGAATAAGCATAGGTCCAAGTTTCAGCACTACACATAAACATATCAAGAGGAAGCGATAACAGAATGAAGAATGGAAGTAAATAATGCTAAATTCAATGGAAAGTTGAAAATAAGCAATTTGTACAAAACAATTGAATCACTTTCAGTTAATGACATCGGTAAATTACTGTTTCATTCCATATTTTTTTCTAACTCTATAAATACTGACTCTTAACTGGAATATTGGAAAATTCACCTCGAAAATAGTCGTCGATGAGCCGAAGATTTTCATCATAGTTATTATTATCGAATGAAGTGATTTTCTGAAGCCTTCTTTTTACTGCAGTTTAAAGTCTGTTTTCACTACTTATTTGAGTAAAATCAATTTGTAATTAATGTAACCTTTTAAAACAAATTAAACATCTCTATTGAGTTACTTTACTATAATTTTTATCTATCATTTACAATTAAGCATGGAATAGAAAATACTTTCAACATGTGCATACCAATCATCGTATGTCGAATAGGGTAAAAAAAAATAAATACTAATCACACTAACCCATTAAAATGTTTGAATGATTATTCATTGAATAACCATATTGATTAGGCATTAGATAATTAGTTGATTTTGATTGACGTGAATTAGTTTGTATATAATCTTCATTGAAATGATTAGTTAGTTGATTTTCTGTATCACTTAATGCAGTTATTGGTAGTTTTTCATGTTGTTGTTCTAAATGTTGATTTGAATAAGTTTTATTTAGATGACCAGGAAATCCATTCAATAAATGTTGACCAGTAGTATTTGAACGATGTAAACCATTAGTTGTTGCATTGATACTTGGTAGTTTTCGCCTTGTCAATAAAATTTTTTCAAGTGGTGAATCTACATGGGAGTTCATTTATTTATTAAAAGTTAAATAAGAGAAGTTTTTTCAAATTAGTTAAAATATTTAAAAATTATTAATAGAAATAATCATATGGAGAGATAGACTTGACAATATTTATTTCTATAATATACTAGTGTTTTAAAAATAATTTAGAACTATTTTCCAAAATGTTTAGGTTGATTTATTGTACAAATTGATTTATATAGGTTTACTTTTATTTTAAATACAGTGATTGTTCAACAAGTCTTGTCTAAATAAATAAATATTGAAAAATTATGAATGTTTTTAACGAAATCGCTATTTTTACTATATATCATATTCAAACTTTTAAAATAATCCGGTTTAGAGTGTAGAGAAATTTAAAACCAAAAGTGATTTTCTACGATGATATCATAAGTCGATAGTTAGATTAATTACTGATTTTAACAGTAACATATTTAAACTAAAACGCAATGGACAAACTCTCAGCTTTTCTAATATTCTATTAGTCACATTAGCAGATTATGAACGCATTGTTTAAACAACTAATTAAGACGGCTATGAGGAGTCCTATTTATTACAAAACTTTTTCATAAGTTTTTACAAAGAAATGGAAAAGTAACATTGGACAGGAGAATTATGGTGTAACTGTTTGAAAACCGAAAGGTTGAGAGACAATGGAACCAGTAATGATATTCTTAGTTGAGTCAAAGTCGACTTCATACCTAAACAATATCAAATCTCCATAGAACTGTTGAAATGTATAAGTTTTTCAATTATACTTTGATACCTTTCAAGAATCGACAAATTATTACTGTGTACATCTACCTTTCACTTGTTAATGTTATATGATAAACTAGTCTCATTGCGGGTATTTCACCAGCTTATGTCAAGGTTAATAACATCTGTCATGTTCCGATAAAATGTTACAGAATATCAATTTCAACTATGTATAAACATAGAATATAAGTAACTACTCATATTTCCTAAACAAACATTATTTACTGTATATTTTATCAGCTCAGATGAGATATATACTTTCTACTGAACACCAGTACCGATTTACTAGAAGCTTTTGGTTGCAACTGATCTACCAAAGTTAGTAACGTTATATCCGCTAGGATTTTTAATTTTAATAAACGCTATCTACTCCAAAACCTGCCACCTGTTTGGTAAGCTTTACTTTTGGTCTGCCTCTTGAAAAGCACTGGGCACATAACATGAATTGAAGGATTCAAGTTCCACCTTTGAACATAGAACCGACAATTCACTCTAACTTTACAAATAAGGCAACAGTATAAAAGTTCCATTGTGAATTCTTAAACGCTTTAATTGGTAATATAAATTTATTACTGAAAAATCACTAGGTTTCGGATACTATTTTGACATTAACAACTTCATGATTCATTGAATGATATCATACGCAAAAATAGATTATTGAAGTGAGTCGAACAATCGTAAACATAGAAATCAAATACTTATACTTACTATCAGGTATTTCAAATCTTACAGTAGCTAAACATGAATGCTTAGTAGGTGTTTTTGTGCCAACTATTTGTCCATTCTCTTTGACAACTTCAGCATCGAAATTCATCCACATTCCAGGACCATCCTTTGAAAAAATATAAAATGGCGAATTTTCACTAACATTTTTGTTGCAAAACATGTAGACATTAAAAACCATACTCAATAGATGAAGTTAACTAACACAAATTTTCACTGTTATTGATGTCTCACTTACTGATTATAATTCTGAACATAAGAATCAAACTA